AGTAGCTGCCGTCGATAGTGGAAGTGAACCAGTTGACCGGGCTGACTCACTAGTGGCGCGAACTTCTCTCCAACCGTTCGGACTCACGTGTTGGCCATAAGCCGTTGCAACGGAAGGTGCATTGGGAGCGAATAGATAAGAGGCGAAGAGTCAGGGAGAAGGCGTCAGCGACAGGTCATTCATATCAGTGCGCTCGTGTCTCTCAATGCAGAGATACCTCGTGCTTTCAATGTCTAACGAGGCTTAATGTTGGACATGGGTATCATTTCAGATTTTGTCTAGATGGTTTATACATGGTGTTACAAAACTTTACATCCTCCAATGTGCCTCTGATATCTTGACTGTCATCTTAGGCTTTCGTTTTGATGGCTCCTTCGGGGATTGCATCCTCCGCCTCAAACTTGCGCGGGATAAGACCCTCAGCCATATCAATCGCGCTCTGCATGTCATTCTTGTTGAACAAGAACAAGCCTTGAATCGCTGCTGTGCTCGTGAACCTATTTGCCGTCTCCCCGGTTCCATTGCCAAATAGCCCTAGGTCCTCGAGTCTCTGCAGGAAACGTTCCCGACCAGCACCGTCTGTGTCCACATCGCCGTAGAAGCGATCCCACATCAGGCCAGCCTGATACTTGGTCGCCTCGCCGATACGCATCATCATGTCTACACGACCCGGTCGAATCAGGGCCGGATCAAGACGCTCAATGTGGTTTGTCGTCAAAAACGCGATGCGCTCCTCGCCAGCTGCCAACCCGTCGAGCGCGTTCAGGAGACCAGAAAAGGTGACACTGGCGCCGCTGTAGCCATCGGCATCACGCTGGCGGCGGTTGATGAACGCAGAGTCTGCGTCCTCCAGCAGCAAAATACTCCGACGAGGCAACTTCGTCAAGAGATACGCCAGCTTGTCGTCCGTCATACCCATCTCGCTGAGGTTGACCATGGCCACGCTAAAGTCCAGCTCACCAGCGAGAGACTGGATGAAGGAACTCTTGCCGCTGCCAGGGGGTCCGAACAGCAGGTATCCACGGCGGTAGGGAATGCCGCGGTCAACATACCACTGCTGTCGTCCCAGGAAATCCTTGACGTCGTCCACGATGCCCTCCTTAACGCCTTCATCCAGTATAACCGAGCCGAGAGGTCGCTTCTTCCGAGGATCACCGAGCGGCGCCCATTCCATGCCTCTCGCAGAGTATACGACCGTCTTGCCCTCGTTCGCCTTGGCTGCCAGCGCGTGTGCCTCACCGAAGATATCCTCAAAGACATGACGATGCGCCCACAGCGTTGTTAGCTGCACGATCTCGTGCGGCTCGCCAGTGTTCATGTTGGCCGTGTTGTGCTTCTCGCGGTTGATTGCGATGAACGCATTCTTGTGCTTGACAATATGTCGCCCATAGCCAGGCTGTAGGAAAAAGTGCGCATTCGTCGGGCTATTCGCGCCTCGCTGGGTCGTGGTGGTTGTCGAGACGGAGAGGTTGTGGATGCGGGTGATGCGTGAGGCGATGAAGCCAGCCTGCTCCCGCGGCTGCGAAAGCCACGCCAGGATCCATGGGTACGCCGGATCCTGCTTGCTGATCTCGACGTTGACGAGGAGGCGGCGGCGGGCAGCTCCGGCTGCGACAACGACGCCTTTGCGGCCGAAGGCTGCTACGGCGCCTAGACTCGCTAGGCCGATGCCGCCGGCGAAGAGGGGGTTGTTGAAGAGGGCATCGAGGCTAAAGATCGAGGCTGGACCGGACGATGCTGCTGTGGGTGCCGCAATCGGAGCTTCTAACGGTGCTGCAGCCGCCGGTGATGCTATCGGTGCTGTCGAGGCTGCGGTTTCGGTCGAGGACATGATCAACGACGGTTGTGGTGGCTCCGGGCTCGCATTGCCCGATGTTGGTGCAAGCTTTGGGAATGTGGAAATGTTCGACGAATTTTTGAGACGGACCGGAAGCTTGAGCAGGGATGACGGAGCTCGCCTGAAGTCATGGAAGACGCTGAGGAAAATCCCCGGTCGAGCGTCCAGGGGCCCACCCCTGTCGCTGCCGGATTTGAGAACCCTTGCGGCCCTGTATGTACAGACTGAACAGCTCCTTCCACAACTGCTCGGCGACATTTGACCGATGTTCCTCAACATTACCGTCTCCATGGCTTTGCACGTTTCTCTTCCCTTCGGAAGCACCATATTCGAATCAGAGATGTTCTCAGAAGCTTTTTGATGCAAGATGCCTACAAGCTGCATTCCTTGGACATCAGGCAGTGCAGCTCTGTTGAAGACAGCGGAAAATACCACTATATGACCAGCGACAGGACCATTAACGGCCAATTGTCCTTCGATAATGCTGGTATCTTAGACGGTCTCCAACCTGGTGTTGGGTTAGCTAGTCCTGATCATATTTCGCGTCTGCTGCATCTACGGGAATCTAGCAGCCGCATCTTAGTGTGGGACAAAACAGACTAATGTCGCCAAAATTCGGCCAAAACAGCCCCTTGGAGAATCCCGAAAAACAAGGACCACCACCAGGCGGCATCGATGAGGCTATTAGAAGCTGGTCAGAAGACCAAGAGAAAGATAACTCGGAATGGGATTGGGACAAATTTACGCATACCCACATGGATTGGGTGCGCACGTTCAAGACTAGAAAAGTCGTTATGTTATCCCTTGTTGTTTTCACTGTGTAAGTCATCCAACCCTTTCGAATTGCAGAAGGGGAGGCCAATGAACTGACAACCCAACGCAAGCTTGGGAACCTTCATCATCATGCCCGCTCGTGCCTACCTCATCGTGTAGTTCGGCTTGACCATGATGTAGGCAATCGTGCCTTGAGCAATGTACGTCTTCGCCCTCAGCTCGGATCCTGTCGTTGGCGGTCCATCATCGGAGGCAGTTGGCCGGCACCCCGTCTCATGAGCTTTCCTCTGGATGGGCTCTTCGCTCTCGGCGTAGGGTTCTGCCACAGCTTCGCCGAAATATGCGTCCCCCGGTCTCTCGTAGGGCCCCGAGTCTCTTGTAACTTGGCCATCTGAATGCTCGCTGTCTTCGGCCACGTACATCCTCGTGCCATCTCTTGGCCCGGGACTAGGACACACCTGCACTGTCCCGTTCTTTATCCACATCCGCGGACAGTAAAACGTCCCAGCGATAGGAGCCGTTCGTTGTGAACCAAAAGGGCTGGTGATGGACGCAATGGACACCTACATCCTTCTTTACAGCGCTGCAATACGTGTGTAGCATAGTGTGTGGCTTCGGGATTGAGCAGCAGGGCTTGGTCTTCATTTCCATCGCAGTAAGATACGTCCTAGGAGCTTTGACGGTCATCTATCCGAAGACGATGGAATTTTATACTTATTGAACACCGCCAAAGCACAGGTTGTCCCCCGCCACGTTCCGGAGCATCAGCTTTCCGCTAGGGCTTTTCTGGTTCAGCAAGGTCATTCGAGACGACAGCAGTGCCAACGAAACCAAGCTCTGATGGAAATACCGAGACGTGCCTGACAACGTGAGGAAGCATGACTTAGTGATTCAATTATTCATGACTGAGCACATGCTGACGTTGCAGAGGGAAAAGTGACAGCTCGGGCTGGCCCGAAGATGGTGATCGGCGGCGTGGAGCATTCTCCAGCCGGGGAAATGTCCGATCGTGCCGATGTAACTGGGTACACCCGAAAACGGGAGTTTGGGGGGCTGGCTGTGGACCCCCCACGAACCCAATCTTGCGACTTTTTGGGCGTTGGCCCGTTGAGAACATCGTTCCGTACCGGGATGAATCGAGCAGGGTTCATCATGACGAACCAAGCGCGACGGCGTAAAACAAAAACAGGGCCATCTGTGGAGGGGTTATCTCTGTTGGTCGACATCGGGATGAGGGGGAGGGGAACGGAGGAGAAGTGCGTACGTCGCCTTTACCTATCAGATCAATTTTTTCCCGATTCTGAGGATAGTCTTGGAAGGGGTCTCGCGCGTTTCGACCAGACATGGAGATGAGACGCGCAAGTCTCTCTTGAAATATCCGCTTCATGGTGTGACCCTTTGCCATTTGCTGTCATCCCTTCGGCTGGGGCTGTGCCGAATTTGGTTTGCTGGGCGTCCAGGGCCACCCACGGCAACTCCAGTCTCCAAGAGCACCAAGAGCACCAAGAAATCCCAAGACCAAACCGCGCAACACGGCAAAACGGCACTCATTTTATTTTGCTAGTGAATCCATCGCCGTGTGTTCTTGGTATCTTCTTGGCTCGGCCAGGCACCTAACCCGTACCAGCCAATAAACTACTACGCAACGCTGTGTACCGGTGGCGCGGCTTATTCAGGCCAGATGAGGGGGACTGGATGGGGTGCAACACCTTGGCGCGCATGAGTTTGCTTTGCGCTTGGCCTCTTTGCTTTTCGAGTGTTGTCTTTTTTTTTTCCTAGCCGTCTCAGTCGTCTGGTCTCATTCTTTAACAGGCCTTGTCCTGCAGCCACCAGGCCCAATGATGTTTCTGGCGTGGCGACCTAGTTTCTCACTCCTTTAACGACATCTCTAGAGTTTTTGTCGCACCTCACGTTTACAATGTCGCATCTACACTTATCGCGATAGCTTCACTCTATCCGCCCTGTCAATGATTCCAAACGACATCTTCTACCATCATCAATGATCACGACGACGACGACGACCCACTTCATCATCACATCAGCCTCATTCTGCTGACGACGGCTGTTTTTCATTCAACCACAGCTTAAGGCATAGCTTACGTCACTCGTATGCTCCCTTGGCAACAATTCCTCCCTCTCGAGCAAAGTCCCGCGTGTCCTGCAACATCACGCCTGGTTCTCATTGACGGATCTCTGACTCTCTCGCGTTCTGCTTCCTTCCCGCAGCTCTGCATATGCGACTCTGACTTGCATCGCCAAACACCACCACCCAATCGCCGGTGCGTGAGGGCCACCACCTCATGACAACCTCACCACACCACCACCAACCCCTCACCTCAAACCACACTCCAAAGCGCCCAATCACATCCACCGGCAAACGGAAGCAACCATGTTCCTCCCCTCACCACGCATAAGACGCCTCCTCATCCTCCTCTTCCTCGCCTTCCTCGTCGGCAACGCCCTCTTATTCCTCGTCCTACCCTACGACAACCCCCTCGTCCTCGCCATCCGCTTCAACACCGCCAGCCTCAAGAACTGGTGGCGCGGTCCCGGTACTGAAAAGGACGCATGGCTGTACGAGCCTGCCAAGTTCCCCATCGAGTACCGCACCGACGTCGGCCTGCTCATCAAGACGGGCTACGGGACCCGCCACCGGCTCACGGCCCAGCTCGAGGCGTTTGATCTCACGGCGCGGGATAAGGATACGTTTGTGGTCGTGGGTGACTGGACGCCGCGGGAGAATGGGACGATTGCCGGGGTGAAAGTGCACGATGCCATTGGCGGCGTCATGGCGATGCCGGAGATGAGGGCGCATCATGATGCGCCCAAGTTTAAGGAGTATCTCGCCCTCAAGGATGCCGTGCAAAAGGGGGATGATGCCAAGGCAACTGAGATTGGCCAGAGTTTCGGGTGGGACCTTGATGCGCTCAAGGTAATTACTCTCCCTACTTCTTTTACCCGTGTGTTCGCACACGCAAGGCAACAAGAGCGTCGCACTGACAGTAGCACAAGTTCATCTGGGGCCTCGAATACATCTACGATAATCTCCCGCAAAAGAAATGGTACGTCATCGTCGACGATGATACCTACCTCGTCAAATCCTCCCTCCGCCTTCTCCTCGCGCACTGGAACTCGGACGAGCCGCAGTACATTGGCAACGCGGTCGGTGACTTCAAGGGCCGCTTTGCACACGGGGGATCAGCCGTCGTAATATCGCACGAGGCGGCGAAGCAGCTCCTCTCGCGGCGGGACGTCGTGGCCGCGGCGCAGGAACACTCGCTCGAGGAAACGTGGGGTGATAAGCTCGTCGCGACAGCATTTCAGAAGATTGGAGTGTACCTCGACGAGCGATATAGCCACTTTTTCAATGGCGAAAGGCCAAATATCAGTAAGATGATGGCGGACCGATTCTGCTCGCCACTAGTTTCGTTTCACGGCGTGGCGGACCCGGCTGAGATGAAGAAGGTTGGACGGGCGTTTGCGGACGAGAGGAGTCCGGTGTTTTGGGGCCAGCTGTGGGAGATTTACGGCGCGCCGTCGGTGGAGGAGTTTAGGAGGATGCCGGTTCGGACGGGGCGGGACTATGTTGGGAGGATTGACGAGCGAGCGAGGATGGTGCACGCGGTCGAGAGCGCGGAGGCGTGTTTGAAGGAGTGTGAGGGTATGGGGAGCAAGTGTTTGGCGTGGGCTTGGGTCGAGCATACCTCGGAGTGCAAGCTCAGCCCGTGGATGATTCTTGGGGAGGAGGTAGAGGGGCATTATTCGGGGATCAACACGGACCAAGTTGAGAAGCTTCAAGAGAGTTGTTAAGAAGGGAAGAAGACGGCAACGATAGACACGAGAGCGCGATGATACCCAGGGAACACACAGGCGTAGGGGCGGGGGATAGGATTGGATTACATTCTGTTGGTGTTTTGGGGACGGCGCAGGTAACTTTAGGCTTTGCCGATGAATACAGACTCGATTCGTTTCTTCCTCAATAAGGCTTTCCTATTTGCTTATGGTAGGAATCCTCTGAAAGACTGAGGTTCCCAGCAGCAATCCCCACATGAATATATCTAATGCTACGGCATCCGTATCCCCCGTGGGGGAAGCACTTGCGCCGGCAGCTCGGTTTCGGGCGGGGTGCAACTCGGGCCCGATCGAGGACCGAGCTCCATAGGGCAGGTCCGGACCAGCGCCCCACCTAAGGTGTGGCTCAGCCTTCAAGATTCGAATGAGCACGTGTGTGGCTTGACCGCCGGGGCAACTGGCGGCGTGCAGCTGCCCCACGAAACGAATCGGGCTGGCTGTCATCGTGCAGGGACAGCGGGCATGGTGTGCAGCAGCAGCGGCGGCCTGTCGGACGGGGAAAGTCACTGTGTGCCAGTAGGGTGTGGAAGGGCCCAGGTCCCTTGAGGTTTAGTGCGAGGGGCGTCAATGACGATGACGTCTCCGTCTCATTATGTGCGCGCACACGACACTGGACACACAGTCACTGACGCGCGAGCTAAGCCACGCTCCATCCGATCATTTTCGCCTCTTGCAATTAGTACGGCGCAAGGCTGCAAGTTGGTCTAGATGCCACGGATGCCAACTGGTTTTGTAGTGGTGGTCGACAAGACAGTTGACGTCAACTCTATCAATCAGCTTTCCACACCACCCACCAGCCCGTCATCGCATCGCATTGCCCCTCGGACACGGAATTAAACAGCAGCAAAGCTCCTTTGGGTCTGTCCGTTGGTGTCTAACGGTCAACATCTAATTTCCACGACTCCTTCCAGTACTCTTGGCGGACACTCTCACTGTTCAAAGCGAAATAAAGAAATCGAACAAGAAGCACTCCACGAAACGGACCACCTTCAGCTCCCATACTCACAGCCGTGTCTCCATCGCCTAGTCAACCAACCGAGCGGATCGACTTCATTCCCCAACTCTTTTTCTCGAGGTTCCCTGTCGTTCATCGGTAGTGGAAACATTCCTCCCATCTGGCCCTATCGCCGACCAACCCAGACACCAGGACTGCAAACTGCAGCTCCAAAATCCCTGTTCAGCTGTTGGGGAGCCCCGCCAAAAGCTGTTCTAAGCATCAGCAGGTCCCGTAACTGGCACAGGGCAGCGAGTGTGCAGTCACTAAGCGGCGCCCAGCCACTGCGGCACTACGACATCCCACTTTCTCATAAAGACAGGTCCAAGACAGCTCACCACACGCGGGCCCTTTTTCCAAGAGACCCCGCCTGCATGCCGTAACTTTTGGGAGAAACTTAGACACAACATACATCCACTCGCACACACACGCACCCTCCAACTCCCTATTCCTTCTTCTCCTATAGTCTCGAAGCCATTCACAACTCTGACGACAGCTGCCTCAAGTCTGCCACAACATCTCACACCTAACAACTGCGACCCCTCGAATCCACAATGGCGGCCCAGACCCCAACATCAGCTCAAGCCCAGGCTAACCAGGGCAGCTGGGGAGCTTTCCTCAAGGTATGCCCTTCCTCTGCACTGTCATCGCTACTCAGTCTCCCACCCTTCCCTCCATCCCTTGACACAAAGAACGTCGCAACTGACAACGGCCTTTCGCCTCTCTTTAATAGTCCATCGCCTCCTTCAACGGTGACCTCTCCTCCCTGACGGCCCCGCCCTTCATCCTCTCCAGCACCTCCCTGACCGAATTTTCCTCCTACTGGTGCGAGCACCCCTCAATCTTCGCCGCCCCCGCAAAGGAGGCAGACCCGGCCAAGCGCGCCCTACTCGTCACAAAGTGGTTCATCAGCACCCTCAAGCAGCAGTACGCCTCCCGCAGCGAGCAGTACGGCAACGAGAAGAAGCCCCTGAACCCCTTCCTCGGCGAGCTCTTCCTTGGAAAGTGGGAGGATGACGCTGGAACGACGGAGCTCATCAGTGAGCAGGTTAGGTAAGAGGACCACCGTATTCGCTTTTTGCCAAGACTCCAGCTCCCAAAGCTAGGTACAGGATGCTGATCATCGTTCTCTCAACAGCCATCACCCGCCCGCGACAGCCTACTCCATCACCAACCTCCCTACGGGCGTCCACCTCGAGGGTTACAACGCACAAAAAGCAACCTTCAGCCGCACAATCAATATCAAGCAGATCGGCCACGCCGTCCTGACCATCCCAACCCCAGATGGCAAGAAGGAGACCTACCTCATCACCCTCCCTGCCCTCCACATCGAAGGCCTTATCTTTGGCGCCCCCTTTATCGAGCTAGAGGGCACCTCCTTCATCACCTCCTCGACGGGATACACCTCCAAGATTGACTACTCAGGAAAGGGCTGGCTTTCGGGCAAGAAGAACAGCGTCATCGCCTCCGTCTACCCGACAGGCAAGGAAAAGGACGTGACCTACAACATTACGGGTGTCTGGACCAAATCCTTCGAGATCCACGAGGGCGCCGCAAAGCACAACTCCTCCAAGACCCTCATCGACACCTACGACGCAGCGCAGCACCCGACCTCCAAGCTCGTCGTCGCCCCCCTCGACAAGCAGCACCCGCTCGAGTCCCGCCGCGCCTGGAAGGGCGTCGCCGACGGCATCGCAAAGGGTGACATGGACCTCGTCAGCCGCGAAAAGTCTGCGATTGAAAAGGCGCAGCGCGATCTTCGCGCAAAGGAGAAGACGGAAAGACGCTCATGGGAGCGCAGGTACTTCACCGATCGCCAGGGCGCCGGCGACGCTGTGCTCGAGTCCCTCGGTGCCGGCGTCAGTCTGCCTGTTACGGGCGACGCAGACAAGACTGGTGGTCTGTGGCGGTACGATGCCGAGAAGGCGGATAAGGTGCGCAGCCAGGCGGCGTTGAGCGAGGCGGACCAGGCCAAGATTGCGGGGGAGATCTTGGGACAACAAAAGTCATCATGAGTTACGACGCACTACGAAAGAGGAATACACTAATGAGGAAGGGCACTCGAGAAAATCGGGTCTACGGAGCTGGATTATCTGGCTGGATGAGCACCCTTCGAGGGGAACGGAAAGACTATCCCGGTGGAATGAGCCTTGCTAGAGTTAGCGAACTGGCGCATGGGAATGTTCTTCATGTCGCCCCGACTGCGCATTCGCGGCGTACATGAGCACCGAGTAGAGTACAAATAATCGAATGGAGTCATATTGTCTTTACTGCGCGCACGTTAGGCCGATTCAGCACATTGGCGTAGACGTTCAATATTACACTTGCTCTCCCCGTGGGCTATATCCAGCCTGGCAGCGCAGATCGTTGATCAGATTGCCTTCTTCGGACTGACGTCGTTTCCACACTTTCCTACTTTGAGGTTCATCTCTGGCAATGTGATATCTGACAACCAAGTCTCCAGAATGATCGGAAGACGCGCATGGCAGCGCTGGGGGGGGGGGGCATTTCATAACTAGAACAAATCTGACAGCTTCGTCACGTCATAGTAGACTAGGAATGCCGGCGATGATTTACAACGCTGTATTGGGCTTCATCCAACCTCGTCTGTTGTCTTTGCCCGTCGTACTACCTCTGTATGTACCCTGTCTTTTTGGCACCAGATTTCTACTTCCCCCTCTGACAAGAACCACGAAAAAAAAAAGCCAATTCTGCAAGGAATGCTTCCAACAACCACCTAAAATGCTGATCAGGGTTCCTTGCGGGGTCGCCAACCATGTAGATGCATAAACCATAAGATTATTACGCCAGCCAATGCACTTTTTTTCTTTCTTCCCCAAGCGATCGTTGTGTGTGTTTGTGCGCGCATCAAAGCATGTGCGTGTTATGTTCAAAACGTCGAATATCAAGAATGTATACAAGCCAAGGTCACCGCAGCATCGTAAGCTTCATCGAGGCAGTGGCCGTGTAGGCCCGGAACGGCTCGAGCTCGGGAGGCAACGTTCTAGGCTGCGAGGGAACGTTGCCAGCCTCGCTCTACGGGCTGTCGTCCCTCTCGAGCTCGTAGAATAGCAAGTAGACCTCGCGTCGAAGATCGAGGACTTCGGCCGTCTTGGCTTCGCGGACCTTCTCGTCGCTGATGCGCCACCAGCGATCCGCGGGCTGCTTCTTCCGGGACTTGTGGACAGGAGGACGAGGCACTACGGCCATCGGCGTGGAGTGAGGCGGGCTGCTTACGGGTGTGCTATTTCCATTGACCTTTTGCGAAATCTTTGAAACAGTGCTCTTTGCCGAGGCCGTGAGTGACCGAACGGATCGGATGCTAGCCGAGTCGGGTTCTCTCTGCCTGTCGCGTGGGGCAGACGTCGGGCTAATTCGCTTCCTGACTCGGTCCTTTGGCGAAGCGTCGGATGACGATAGTGATCGGGTAGAGGAAGCCGTCTCGGAGCTCGGCGTCAGAAGGTCGGGTGTCGACACCGCGGGACTGACTCCCCGAGCAATCGCGTCCAGTTGCGGTGTCGACGGCTGTGGCGTAGCTGCAGGACTCGCCGTCTTGCTGTAGATGCCTGATGGCTGGAAAGTATTCTGATTGGAATACGGAGCATACGTATTCTGTCGTCTGAACGATTCATAGTGTCCACTATGATGACTTCCCTTGTGGGTAACGAGGCCTAATAATTTATAGTTGCGACGATCGCGCAAGCCGCCTAGAGGCAATCGCTCTGGGAAGGCAACTTTGGCCGAGTTCTTGGTCGACGTTTGGTCGTAGATGGACCGCGACAGATGGACGGCAAGGATGCGGGGAAAAGACGTGAGGCGCGTCGACCGTGCGATCTTACGCTTGGGCGCATTGGCAATGTTCGGGAGAAGCACATCCTCAGGGACATGTTCCGGATCAAAGTCAATTGCATGGCGCAACTTGCGCACTGCCTCCTCGAGCGCGGTCCTCTCAGCTTCGTTCTGGGCGTTTGCTAGGTCGCTCTTGAGGGATTCTTCGGCATGGATCAGTCGGCATCTTTCGCACTTGAAGTCTTCAATCATTTCCGTCTTGAAGATTTCGTCAAAGCATGAACTAAGAGTGGTGGAGCTGACTTGGGGCACGTTCAACGTCAGCATGTAGAAGGACTCCTCTCTCGGCTTCGTCTTGTGGCCGCAGGTCTGGCATTCGGATTGGGATTCGTATTTCCCTTCCATGGGAAAGCCTTCGTCTTCGTCCAGAGGCGCATGTATGCCATTGGTCTGGATCTTGGGTATTGTTGGTGTAGGCAATGCTGAGGAGGACTCGTCGGCATTGCCGTTGGCCAGGTTGATATTTTCCAGCTTTTCCTGTACTGCGTCGCCATTCACGGAGGCACCTACCGAGGTGGCTCGTGAGGCTTCAAGTCTTGCATGGGTACGTGCTCTCTCGCCGGCGTGGTACTCTTCCTTGAGTCTCTCGGCCACTATTTGGAGAAATTCCTGGGCGTCTTGCTGCTGGCGACTAATGCGCTGCCTGAACGCTGTCTCGAGTACTCTCACAAACTCAATGGCAGAGATCGATTTCTTGTAGATGGGCCTTTCGTTGAGCGAATCAAGCATATCCTTCAGTCCCTGTGTTACCAATCCGCGTTGCATGCCCTCGATCTTCCATTCCGGGTAGCTCTTGCCGGGCGGCTGAACCAATTGGGAGTATACGCCTTCATCGTCGATATTTCGGCGGTGAGTTTCGCGGATTAGGTACATGCGCAGCTCGCCTAGACCTGCGAGGGCCTGCAGGGTCGAGTTAATGAAGCAATCATTTGCAGCATTGCGCAAGCCGACGACGCCTTTCCTACGTGACGATGAGGTGCTGGACTCGTCGATTGTAAATGTCGGCGCAAAGACGTAGACAAGAGCAATGGCAGCCAAGGATGCGCCGGCGGCGTAGGAAATTGTAGTTACGTTTTTGTCGGGCATATTTGAAAAATCGGGAGGCTCGGGATAGTCGAGGTAACGGGGAGGAGATCGGGGTTATGCGCGGACGAGCGCGATTCTCGGGGATTTGCGGCTCCTGGACGAAGAACCATGGTCAGCACAGATTTCTCCAAAGTCTTGTTGAAAAGTTCCGTGGTAGTGGTCGTGGTGCGTTACACCCGTCTTCCCGAGGGCCACACTGCGCAGGACGGAAAGCCAAACTTGCCTATGCTTTCTAGGGGTAGAAGAATCGCAAGCTCATAACGCTGTGAAGACCGGGCCAGTAGGGGTACAGAAATCCAACATTGTCTCTCCAAGATGCTGGAGTCGGTGTCTAGAGAAATTGGTCGACGATGTCAAGCCGCAGAGGGCAAGGCTGTGGGAGAAGCTCGGCGTAAGGCGAAAGAGAGGAGGAGGAGGAGAAGTGACGAGGAGAGAGATGAGGCGAGAACTGGAGAAGGAGGCTAGAAACTGGAGACGTGGGCTCGGAAAGAGGGTCTGCGATGGAACACACCAGGTTGCTGGAATGGGCGGACGGGGGGTGGCAGAGGGAAAAAACGGGGTAAAATGGAGAAATCAAGCAGGTGGACAGGGGTTCACCACCGACTCGGGGGATCGGGGGAACGTAAGGTAGGCAGGCAAAGGACGCAGTACGGTCAGTGGCGCATGTGGTTATCCAGAGGCGAAGCGAGAGAGGCGGCGACAGCAGCCAGTATTGCCAGCAGCATGAGAATGCGACGAGGATGGTGGCAGATGGGCTGCAGAATGTCTGTCTGCTTTGCTGGTCTGTGTGTAGGCGTTGTTGGTTCAAGAGAGCCGAAGAGCAGGCATTACTCCTGTTGTTTGCTCTGTCAGTCAAAGGAGGGCCCCTCCAGCCGCGGTTTGAGAGTCGGTGTGCAGTCGGCGGGGGATTACACGGCTAAGGTACTAAGGTAAGACAAAATAGACGGGATGGAGAAGACGGGAACGCGGAAGAAGTCAATGTGCAGGATACCCAAGTACGCATACTCAATTTGCCTGATTACTAGGTACACACAGAAAAGGGGACAAAGGAGATAAAATGCAGGAATCCAATGGCTCTCGGCAAAATCCCATCTAGTAAGTGAACGGAAAGAATGGAAGGTGAGGTGTAATGGCTGCGCCTGCCGCCGTCTCGTTATGCGCGCCGCTGCGGCCGTCATTGCACCCCATCAATTGACTCCAGTCACCAAGTGAGGTAGGTACCTGTACGAAGTACTCTCTCCATCCAGAGCGCTCACCGTTACCGCGCGTTGCCCCGACGCTTTCCTTTTTTCTTAGGTACGTTCCCCAAATTGCTTCCTTCTTTCCAAGCCCAGCCTTCCATTCGGGACTTCCCAAAGACGGGCCGCGCTTTCTTTCTTGCAACTCTTGCTTTGATTGGATGGTTGCTGAAGAAGGAGCGCCATGATCTCGGAAAGAACTCCTCTAGGAACTTATTTTTTAATTGGCAAGCGCCACTGCTTTTTGGCCCCGGCACCACCCGCTCGGCTCTCTCGGCCGCCGTTGTTCCGACGCGGACTTTGGTGAGGATTCAGGGCCCCGTCAGGTCACATCCATCACAACCTGTCTGCCAGTCCTAAGTCCGCAAGTCAATCCCGAGCTTCCATCTTGAGTGATGCATTGCCTTGGAGGCATGGAGACAGGTCTGACCTGGCTTCCCCCGCCATTCCTCCTGTCAGTCATCACCCGATTTGACTGGCCCGCCGCACAGTCAACGGTTACAACGCCTATTCGTCAATTACCTTTTCGGTCCGTCAATGTTCAACAGTAGTACTCGACACCCACAAGCAAGATGTCTCGTCAACAGATGCGCACAGCAGCGTTGGTGCGTTATCGATGTGCCCCGCGCCTTGCCGCTTCCAGCACGCCAACCTGCATGTTCCACAACATCTTCTAGAAGCCCGCCGTCATGGCTCTAACCTTCAAGCCCTGCCCGTCCTGATCTCGCCGCATTTTACCTTGTTCCGCTGGGCCAACCGCAGACTGAGAGACTCGCGTCTCTATCGCAGGCGTACCTGCAAGGCAACCACATTCAAGATGTGATCAGCACTCCTCAAAGCCACTTGATTGGGGACCGAGGCCACCATCTTTCCCAGTAGCTTAGTCGCTGCGACGTGGGGGGTTGGAGAAGCAAAACTCTCCAATGCAACGTCACCCGACTTTCCAGGTTCCTCACCAAATGGACCGCTCTTCCGCACCCGCTGACCACCATCGCTCCGATCATTCTCTTATTCGTCCGCCGTCTGTACTCCGTGTACTAAATCATACTGCACGTCGAGAGAAGAAATCCCCGATCTGTCCGAACCATCAGACGGTTCCCCGGCATCTTGACACTAATTACGACGCAGATGTATTTGTACAGTAATGGGAGCACTCGGTCCCAGCACCCAACACTACCTGTCAGAAGCTGCGGCCAGAAACCCGACTCTAGTCAGAGACCTGCTGCTACCCCTCAGTCCTCTCCAATGTCTAAGATTACCGGCAACACCTGTCTTGGGACCCCGCATCTACTGCCCTCGTGGACAGCTTACACCGCCGTCTCCTTTCCTCGGGAATTAGAGGCATTTGACGGCAGGTATTGCTACGGCGCTACACGCAAAAGCGGGAGACAACAACCAACGGCTCGTCCACTCCGCAAGAACCGAAGGCGAAGGATCATCAGCCACCGGCCATTGAACACCAACACGTACGAGAGCTGAAGTGAAGAGCCGAACGCACCGATGGACATCGAACGCACGCCTATTCTTCGGTGGCGTCCAGCATGTTCGCTTTGCGTAATCCCGCGGCGCAGCAAGTTTCCAAAGTGCCGCCCGAAAGCGAGCATTATACTATTCTTCAGATTATCTAATACGGTATCTATCGACCACAGCTACAGAAGAGCAATGCCATGTTGAGAAAGAGACAACCTCATCGTACACTCCAAGACAACCCGCCCGGGCCAACAACCCAATTTCTGGGGAAATTGATGTTGCTAACCCCAGGCTCCGACCCCGGTTCCCCAGGCTTTGCCTCCCCAATACACCCGAGACATTGCAGCTTGGATCCAGCTTGCAGCAAGCTGTCTGGCCGCATCCCAAGACAAAATGGCATTGAGATCATAAGTGGTGGCTACTCAGGGTATCGCGGATCTTCGTCCGACGACCGGAGAAAAGCGAGAAGAGATTGTGAACACTTCGTCCTCGCGGTCACCGCATCGAGCTGCTACTGCACCGCATCTACTGGTGGACTATCCACTGGGTGACTTTTCCAGTCCCAAATCGACCCGTTCAGGGCTGCCATCTTGACCCAGTCGCAGCACAAATCAGTCGCATTCTCATCCCCATAGAACGACGTTGGAATGTCGTATTTTTCGATGGCTAGCAGTCCCTCGGGGTCGTACTCGTCCCATCTTGTCGTCTCTATTTCCGGCAAGTCGCTTTCCACATCGGCAAGCACAATCTTGATCTTCCGGGGCGTCAAGTGGTCATAGCTGTTCAGCATATGGTAGTAGTCGTCCTTGACATTGATCCGTGGGGGAACCAGTGGTCGCGCAAGTACAACCTGCTCGAGCTGGGCTGTGTTCGCTATATCATACCAGAGCCAGTGGCTCGACATGGGTGCATTGAATAATACGACGCGCCTCAGGTTGGGCCACAAGCTCCAGCAGTTGACGGTAAAAGTCTGTTGCATGAAAGTAAGAGCCGGATAGTCCCGTAAACAAATGAGCTCTTCCAGCTTGGATAGCCGCTGGAACCCGTCAGTCAGAGTCGGCCTGACATCGAGGTGGTCGTCGTATCCTGACAATGTCCCAAATGGCATGTCGACGATAAGGCGCTTGAGGGTGTCGCAAACCTCGCAAAAGAGCTCGCGCACCCACATGGCCGTCGGTTTATCATCGAGCGACTTTCCAAATGGACTGAGGTAGAGTGAAGTGATGCATTTGAGCGATAAGGTCTGCGGGAGATTTCTAGGCGACGGCGAGAAGAGACTCAGCAGAAGCAAGCTCAGGCGGCTTGTCGAGTCGATGTGCATGCATCGCTTGCGGAGGAGTCGGGTACTGAAATCGTATGTTGAGCGGGAGACGCGACTGAAGGATATCAGGGCTTTTGTTGCACTATGGGACGCAGGCAAGATTGACGATTCATTCGGTGGGAGAAGACTCTCGATGATATTCAGGATGAGTTCCAGCGGCAACCGCTGGCGCTCAACCTGAGGAGAAGACATTTGCAGAAAGCAAGGAGAAAAGGCACGTAGGTTTTGCAGATCTGGCTGAGGTCCGGTAACGCAATAAGCGGCCGGGAGACTCTTATCTGATGAGCTTAATTGACGGAAACACACTGACGACAAAGAAGGATGTTGGGAGGAATGAGGGGAGACGCAAGCAGACGCGCACGGGAGCCAGGCACCAGGTCAAGCTCGGTGAGCGGTGGCTGGCCCCGGGTAGCCCCCGCTTTTCCCCGTAGCGTCCAATCCGGGGCCACTCCAGCCCACTTCACCGAAGGTCGAGCTTCACAGCATCTTCCCATTAACAATGAACAAGTGCAATCTCTATTTTTAACCAACCCTATTTCGCCTATCGACTGCCACGAAATGTTTGATATCCAGCACCCAGGCTTGATCAGACTCCCACTATGTAAACCCCATCGTTTGTATCATCATTCAATCAACTCAGATGCTATTCCATCAATGCTCGTCATGAGAGGACATTTTCGACCGCAATTTCCGCTGACTTGGGCTGCCACAGAGAGTTTCTCCTCGGCGCTGCATTCGAACTGTCATTAATCTGCTTGCCAGGAAAGCTTCTAGGGACAGCATCGCCGGCCTGCCACAATGTCGCGCTTCCCCTACGTAGACCAGTGTCGGCAAGCTTCTGGGCAGTGAACTCGGGGCTGGACGCCTGAGACGTCTCCGAAGGCTGGGGCCCTTCTTCCGCAACGCCGTCCGCCATGGGCGAATCGACCAGTGCGAGTGGCACGCTCGCCTCCCTGATGACGTCTTGTTCCGCAGCCCCGGCTCCCTCGGGCGCGAGACTGACGACCATTCTTCCGCCGCGGATCTCGCCCTTCCTCATGCGGTCAAGGCCGCGGTTGATGCCCTCGAATCCTTCTTCTACGCCGAGGACCTCGGGCGGACTGACGAGGCCGCTCTCGAGCAAGCGCTCGAGCCAGGTTACGAGGGCTTCCCCCACGGCGGGGACCTCGTGGAAGACCTTGATAGGGACGGTGTGGTAGGCGACTGCCTCAGGTGCCTGTTCCTTGGGCAGACCAGTTAGCCCGATGAGGTGCTTGACAGTCGGCGCCGAGTTGCGAGGCGTATCCGGCGGGCTAGGCGGCGCATTTGCATCCTGCGACGGCGTCAAGGCGCGGAGCAACCAGCAGGCAGACTCTCGGCCGCTAGTATCCAGCGCGAAGCGCAGGTCTTTTCCGACGTTAGCGCGGATGATATCGATGGCGCGCGCAGGGTCGTGGCTGTCGACGAGTAAATCGGGGCGGAGAACGGTATGGTTTGACAATCGGAGGCCGTGACGCAGCTTATCTACCACAGTGACGACCTTCAACCCCGCAAGCCGGGCGAGCTGCACAGCCAAGTTCGCAGAAGTCGACGACCCGCCCCAGATGACGACCCAGTCACCCGCCGTAGCCCTCTCATGGTTTCCGATGCCCGAGAGACACTCTGCCCTAATATCCTGCGGCAGACTCTCCGGCGGAACAGAGCGCAAGATCGTCAGCAAATCCGGTCCGTCGAGAACGTGGGAAAAGTCCACGCCCATGCAGACGGCCAGGGAGAGCGCCGCAGCGACAAAGGCGACGCCGAGGGTCGCGCCGGCGCGCGGGGAGACGTTGGGCGGGATGCGGGCCGCGTTGAAGTCTGAGGTGACGACGTACTCCTGGTAAGCTGCCTTGCGGAGGTCGCGGTAGTCTGTGGAGATGACGAGGACCTGGTCACCTTCGCGAAGGCGGCTTTGGCTTTGCGTTTCGGAGGTTGTTGTTGCTGCTGTTGATGATGGCTGCGGGCGGCGGACGACGCGGCCTACGAGCTCGCGGCCTGAGATGTAGGGGAGGGTTGGGATTGCAAAGTTGAAGTCGCTAATGTTTGGGGCAGCCTGTCAGTTTTGGCTACTCTTCTCTCTCTAAGAAAGGCCTGATTGAGGTGCTGTATGAGAAGGGTATAGAAGAGAGGTTTAAGATACGTACGGTGCTTTCCAGTCGATCGGGTTGAGGCCGATGTGTTCCGTCTTCACCAGCACCTCTTGCTCATTTTGGATCTCAGGAACCCGGTACCCCTCCTCCGTTTCGTACGGCTGCTTTGCCGCGTGGAGGATGAGGACGGTCTGCGTCGCTGGGATTTCTGCCATGGCGATCTGATGTCTTTCACGGGCTCGCCGTTATCATTGGCCAGAGTCTAATAGGCGTTCAGGGTGAATAGTTCCCTCCTGACAGGTAAGGGATGGGAAAGTGGCTGTCTGTGGGCGTTGCGTTTGTCTGGCAGTTTTGCTGCACACTGTCTCGCCTTGGGCAACGGTTCCTTTCTCAAAAGATAACACAGAATAGGCAAGTCGTAAAAGTCAGAAACTCGAGACGGAAGGTCCTTGGGTAGAGAGAAAAGGGGGAAGAAGGGACTTGGAGAGGAATACTCCAAATGTCACAATAGAATTGTTGAACTTTTTTTTTACGTTTTTCATTTTCTCTCGTCATTTTCTGTAGCAAAAGATAAGAGCCATTTTGATTTTACACCCCCTCCCGGTGTTCGGAGTCGCTTCTTGTTGTCGATCGGAATTGTCTTTCCTTTAGGTGCGCTGGGGGGGTATTACGTGCTCTCGTAGTCCCGCATTGCGTGATTCTTCCCCAAGATGGCTGCATCGCCATTGACCATTCAATCAACACCCCCGCGAAACCCCCTCCAAATCAAAGAGCAAACCGACAAGGACCAAGGTTTCCCGATAGTGCTATGGGTTTACTCGGGGTAGCGGCGCTCGAACTCTCATTAACAGACGGTTAATTACGATAGATTTTAGCAGCAGGCGTGGATTTCTCGTTGGCTGGCAAGAGTTGGCACAACTTCGCTTAACTCTTCATCTCGCGGCAGGACCTTCCACACTCGCTCACATGTGTGTGAGTACTCCCGATAACAGTACCGAGTCGTCTAAATCCGTCCATACGTCGAAGCGCAGCTGCGGGGACCGCCCGGTCCGATACGGCGATGAAAGCCGAAGCTGGACCAACGACAGGCCGGCCCCTCCTTCACTCGCTCTCCACTCCTGCCCCGCCCCCGGTCACGACATGTCGCAGGATTGTTGGTAATCCGATGTATTGATAGATAGTGCCTTGAGCACGGCTGTCAGTGTCCGATATAGGCTGCTGAGTAATTCTCCTTGCTCGTGACTTCGGGATGCTGCGGGTTTGGTGAGATTGCGTGCTGGAGCAGAAATGCTGCGTTGACGTGACGAGGAGTTGAAGGAGGGACTTGAGAGTACAAGAACCCTCTATTGACGCCAAGTGTGCCGTATCGTGGTGAAACTAACTCCTATCTAGATGCTCTTGAGGAGTATTTGTTAATTAATGTCGTGTAGGCGTCAGTCTTGCTTACTTCCCGCCAATTTCAGACCCTCAAATAAACTTGTGAGTTCGGTGGAGCAAATTTCAAATTGGAGACGTTCATGTCATATTCTCCAAGTAATTCGAAGTTGGACTTCCTCAAGGTTGCTTTGTGCTGTTTCTTGAGCTTCATGGATTCCTGTGTTTCGACTGTTTTGAAAACACCACAGTAAGTGGTGGAACGCTGGTCAAAAACAAGCTCGAATTAAGTCCTCGCCATACCTTACCAAACAATTTGAAGCACTCCTCCTATGTAAAGTGACAAGATTCCTCCGATAGCCTATGCTTTTCCGAATAAAATATAGATGATCTCATAAATCCAGGCAAGGAAGTTGAACATGGTCGACTGAAGCAACCTTAACAATTTTCAGCCTCAAAGCTGAAACATATCATTTATTTATTTAATTCTTGAAGCTGATAAAGTTTCCGCGGCGAAATCGTCGTGATCCATACTAGAGGGTCCTTTTCTGAAAACGATCTCAGTCATGTGCCACCAATTCCGCCAACAACACCAATCTGTTTTGGCAGTGCAAACACTACTGCGGAGAAGAACATCCAGGTTTAAGACATCTGGAAACACTGTTCTCCCGATTAATTAAACTCTTGATTCAATCACTTCGGAACTCACGCGAGAGTTTCGTGGTTGGCCAATGAAGCTATTCCGGGAAATTTCTCGCTTACATAACCACTCGATGCGACCCCAAAAGCACGGATGGTCCCTGGACCCTTGAAGATATCTTGTTTCTTAAGTTTCCAACTTTGCCAACTTTCTTGACAGGATGCCTTAGGCCCTCTGAGAACTCGTCGTCACTTCCACTTCTAAAGTATGACGTACACATTGATGGATGAGGCAATTCTCAGCCTCATGAAATTTGAGATCGCAAAACGTTCAGTAAATCTCTATGGGCGACTTACAAGCTGCGAATGACACCAATGGGGGACCCTCCAGTGTCGCAGGAGTCCAAATCGACCCCGATGGAGACCTCACACTGCGGGCGGGGCAGCAGACAAACAAGCCCGAGAAGTCATTCCACGTCTGCGCCAGCGCCTTGCGCCGCTCATCGCAGGTCTGGAAGAAGATGCTGTTTGGCCCATTCAAAGAGTCCAAACCGGCTTTTGGGCCATGGGTGGTGAACCTCCCTGAGGACGACCCCGAGGCCCTGGAGATAATCCTCAACATCATCCACGCAAACTTTCCCTTGATCCCGAATACGCCTGGCCTATTTCAGCTTTATGAGATTTTCCAGATGGCAAACAAGTACGACATGATTCCGGCCCTGAAGCCTTGGGCTGTTGCTTGGTTGCATGTGGCGGAGGATTGCCAAAAGGTCACGAACCGCTTTGAAGGTCGAGAGAGAGCAGCATTGTCCTATGTGGCGTGGGAGTTGGGGCAGGTCGAGCTGCACAGGCAGATGGTCAAGGAATTGATTATGTATTCCTCACTCAGCGAAGACGGGCGAATGATCAGCCGGAGAGTCTTGCTGGATGATGTTGGTCCTATCGGCCCACCCGGTCTATTTGGTAACGTCCATGCTCGCTTTGCCCCTTGGAACGGCTGCCGTGCTTAAGGGAATTGCTAACAGAAGTCTGTAGAGGTTCTGCACAGACAACGGGAAGACATCGTCCACACCCTACCACTCCAAATCAACTCCGTCATCAAAGAACTCATGTTCAACGACGGGAGCTGTGTTGATAAGAGGGCCACCCGTGAGGAAAAGAAGCATTGCAACTACATCGTCCTAGGCAGCCTGATGAGAGGCATGGGCGATACAAGTGGAGATATAGGGTTGGAAGTGCAGTGTGATCGGATGGAAGCTTTGACAAGCTTTGTGGATCGCATCTGGAGCATTGCTAACATGATATGTTGTTATGATGGGCACACTAGTCGATGCAACCCTGGCCCAAAGATTCAATCCATATTGAAAAAGGTGACCACGGGAAGGATTGTCAAATTGACGAAGAATAGTGTACAAAAAATGGAGAATAGACGTGAAGAGTTCGGATTGGGGCCAGAGAGAGTAAAAACATCGGAAGATACCTCAAAATTGGACGTCCAATAATATTGAAGATGCAGACAATCAATATATTATTATAGGTCAGGCCTATTAATTCATTTGACTAACTAAAGAAATGCTCCGTATGATCATTATGCATTTAGCTCATAATGCCCTTGTGGCCGTCACCATCGGCATCCTTGAAGGGGTTCAGCTTATCCACAAGCGAAATCTTCTTGCCGGTAGCGTCGTGAGTGGCGTGGTCGGTAGTGGAAGCCTTGCCAGCGCCGCTCTGGCTGGTGCTGGTTCTTGTGGAGCCGAAGCGAGGCTGAGCAACTATTAGTAAGTTGTGAGATGAAGTGAGTGGGTTGGTGTGTACTTACCTCAGATTTGTTCAAGCCTGAGCTGCCATGGGTTGCTGTAGTAGGGCTTCCAGAAGTGGTGTAGTTGCTACCCGTAGTCTGCTTACCGGTAGGGTGAGTCCCGTGCATAATACCTTGAGCGGTGCTGATGGACTTGTCACCTACAGTTTGGCTATGGGTAATGTTATCGCGGCCAGTAGACTGGTTGTGGGACAGGTTGCCAGTTCCAGTTGTGTTATTGGCACGAGTGTTGGCAGTCTGAGCCGCAGCAAGGCTGTCGGTACCATGAGTGCCAGTGGTGCTGTGAGAACCGAGAGGGTTGTGAGTACCGGTAGTGTTGTGAGTGCCAATTGTGTTGTGGGTGGTGTTGTTGTTGTGACCGTGGTGGGAGGCGGCACCGGCGGCGGCAGCGCCGGCAGCAGCGGTAGCAACCTTGCCGGATCCGGAGTGAGTGTTGTGCTGATCCGCACGCTGGCTCTCGAGACCGGTGTGGCCAAGACCCCGGTCGTTGACACCGTGAGTGGCAGTCTCGTTGTTGTGGTGCTTGTGTGCAGCCAATGCAGCTCCTCCTGCTGCGGCAGTGCCAGCGGCGGCAGTGCCCTTGCCGGGGCCGGAGTGGTGATGGCTGTCGACACCACGCTCGTGCTCGTCCTTGTGCTCGTGGTGCTTATGAGCGGCAACTGCAGCACCGCCAGCGGCAGCAGTTCCCACGGCTGCCTTGCCGGCGCCGTGGCTGTGGTCATGGCTGTGACCGATACCTGACTGGTGAGTGTTGCCGAGATCCTTGTGGTACTTGTCGGGGCAACCCTCAAACTCGTCGTAGCGGTGGTGACGAGGACCGTCAGTGAGGCTTCCCTTCTCCCTGGTGAACTCTTCCAGAGTCTTCACGGGGAGGGTGGTAGCCTCGTGGTGGATAGGCTTGGCGTGGTGTGTCTCGTGAATGGGAATAGTGGTGTGGACAATGTGAGGCTGGATAGTGTCCTTCTGAATAACTGGCTGAATGTGCTCGTGGATATGGTGGTGCACTCTCTCGCCGGTGACGGCGGGGGCAGTGGTTGAAGTGTGAGTGGTCTCGTGTGTCGTAGAAGTGTCCTTGAACTTTGCATGTTCCCGGTCAAGAGTGTCCTTGGTCTCCCGCTCATTTCCGTGGTCGAAAGTCTTGTGTGCAACGGGGACGATGTTGTGGTGGTGCTTCTCGGGACTGGCAAAAGAATTAGTGACTTGACAAGAATCATACGATATACTGGGAATTGCTTACAGTGTCTCCTGATGCTGAACAGGCTGAATGGTAGTGTGGTGGTGATCTTGGTGAACCTCCTTGTCGACAGCTGTGGTCACCTCCTCGTGGCGGTGGGGACGGACCTGCTCCTCGGTGACGGCTCTGTTGACATCTTCGTCGACGCTGGTCTTATGGTGACCATCCTTGGAGATGAAGCTAGAAACGGCTTGCTTGGCTCTATCCATGATTGCGGTTGATATGGTTGTTGAGTAGTTGATTGGGTGAGTGGTTTTGGATTGAATTGTACTCCAAGGGAAATCTAGGGATGATGAAGTCGCAGTATATATACATCAAGTTGATCAAGATTCATGAACCTTCAGACATCGAAAAAAAAGCATCTGAGTATCGCACAGTCCCTCGCAAAAGAAACAAAAACGTCATGGGACATTGAAATTCAGCCGTCCTAGTACTAACGCCGCGTAGAGATTCGCTGAATCTCGAATTCATTCTCCATCGGCGACTGGAATTCCCGTCTAAAGCGGCCAAAGCTAGGGAATCCAATGCAAGACGTCATTCAGAGATCATGATGAGCCTAGACTCATCGAAATCAAACGCCTCAAGGTTTGTGCCGAAGAACTAAACGTTGAGTCGGATCATCTGGGGAAGCTGAAATTCGGAGCTACGATTCTGCCACTGACGAGGGTGAGGAGCGACTGAGCTGGACAGTCTTGGCATGGCGTCTAGCGGTGGATAACATCCAATGTAAACGGAGGAATGAGTCCTGGGAGTTAAGCCTCATTAGTGTCATCTGTTGGGGCCCGTTCGACGGAAGAAGGCTTGATCTCAGTTCTCAGGAATCCCGGCGTGGTGGCGCAGACAGGTGTGTCTTGGCTAGTCTTGCGCTAGGCTTCGGTAGCTCCAAATGTACAGCGTCATAATGGATGCCGCTATGGACCGCGTCGTCGGAAATGGATAGTCCTGTGGGAATTCCTCGTGACGATCGCGGGGTAGAGCGAATAATCGAGAATCAACAAAGCTTAGAGCAGTCGACCTGTCAATGTTTTGGCCATTTGCGCATGTCAGGGTTCCCAAATTGGCTTTTGCGGAAAGGGAATTCTCCGAATATTGCAATGATGAGCATTCGCATTGCATACCTATTAGGCAAGGAGTGAGGAGCGGAGCAGGATCCGTTAGAAGTCAAGTTGAAGACAGTTGGTCATCGGCATTTTCCTCGGCGGCATCGGGGGTTGATCAGCGATACATCTCCTTCCCGTGTCTCTTTGCAGATCACTGGCGCCCATTACTACTACGCATTTGGTTGAACAATCTACACACACTGTGAAAGCTATGATCCGTACCAATCATGTCCCCCACGAATGAGTAGCTTCATTTCTGCTGTAGTTGATGTGATGCAGTATGTCGTCTCTCTGACTGCAGCAGTCTCCACCGTTGGGATTCGGTATGTTATCGAAAGACTCCTCAGGTTTAGACCGAATTCATCTTAGGAAGCTTTGAAACTGAGCTACCGCATGACGAAATTATTGCATCTCCTTATGCTGAATTGACAAGTCTGAGTATCGCTAGCTGGTGTCTGCATATGGTATACATAGCGCACGCACTCATGCCGCATCTGTGGCTGGTCTGGTGGCTGAACGTGAGGTTGGGCCGATGGCCATTATTAGATGTCCACCATAGCTTTGCATATGGTTGGAAGAGACGATCTTGGTTTTTTGTCCGAGTCATGCATAAACAAAATTGAACTGAGACCTCTCAAGTGCAGATATAAGTTTGCTTGGAAATCGCTATTGTCCAGCGCCTTTCCGAGAAAATACGGAAAAAATTATATTGTAAGAAACCCCAAGATTGTTGGGGCGGTACACGTATTCTCGGAAGATTGGTTCAATACAATAGGAGCCAGGCATCTCGATGGAGTTTGAGCTCGGAAGTCTGAATAAGGCTTGGTGTAACGCTGACGGACCCGTCTCTCTGGTGCGAGGGTGGGGGTCTGGGTTGATTCACGGCCAAGCAGAAGTCCCGAACTTGTAGCTACCGAGCATGGAATGGTAGATCGAGAAAGAATGTTGCAACAAGCGTAATCGTCTTCAGACGCGAAGGATGGAAAGCCACTAAGCCTGCATCACGCGTGAGTCTCCAATATGCGTCGAGACACCTCGATCATCGATGTTGCGTTGTAAGATGCAGCTAACTCGGGGCGTCCGAGCGGCGGCCACCTGGGTCGAGGCTAAACTGCACGTGGACAGAGCATGGCAAGGTAGAGCCGTTTGGTCGGGCACATGGAGTATCTTCTAGATCTCTAGTCGAGAATTTCCTGATAACCCTGCTCCTCGAGGCTGTCGGCTGGAGCTATGTTTCTGTCCACGTTCATCAGGAGGCAATAGCTAGCCTTATTACACAACATATTCAAATGCTTATAACTTCCTCCAAGAGTTGTCCCAACTATCCTCACAATCTCCATCAAGATATCAATCGGACCGACATGCATAGCGGACCACTGATTAGTGGCTGGACCGAGAGATATTAGGTCTGCTAGTGAGCATCCTACATCAAACACCTTCTCCAGTATGCCAACACCATTGGCTTCAAAGGCTTTGGTTGGTAGCAGCCGTGATATGAGTACCACATCGCGTGCTACAGCGGTAGGGTAGCTCAGTGACATGCTGTCCTCACTATCAGTGATAGATAAGAGCGTCTTGGATACGCATAGCTTCCACACGATGACCTTGAGCCACTGCCGTGAGATCAAGAGGTCGGCTTGCTGCATCTCGGAGTAGTTTGAGACACTGGGGATTGCGTACTTCAGGACAGTTTGTAGTTTCGAGAGATGTTCAGGATCTGTTGCTTCTGAAGACGATGTCGTGGATGGCGTGGACGAGTTCCGAGTTGCTATGAAGTCGGTATCAAAGTGCCGGAAAAGAGAGATGAGATCGAGGAACCCGGGAAGAATCGCGGCATCTGAGCTTAGAGGGTCAATAATGGGTAAACCCAGCGTGCTCTGAAGTGTCAGCGGCCTGTGCCTCTGCAGCGCATACGCTCGCTCCGTGATGAACAGGACCCAAAACATGCGCCGAGCATACGTCGCCAGGACCGGATCGTTGATGTCGCTGTACGTGGCTTCTTCATGTAGGCGTAGCGTCTGCAAAATGGTGATTGACTCTCGGAGATAGAACCACGCAGCATTATCGTTGTCCATGCAGAAGAAGGCCGAGAATAGGAAGAAGGAGGTTTGCGCATGAAGTAAGGACTGATGCTCGGCGAGATCGCATTGACGTCTAGTTCGAAGAGTTTCTGAGATGAGAAACTCGGTCGTTGGAAGAAAGGGAGCAGGAACTTCGGTCGACACATTTGATGGCGGGTCTGGTGGCTGTAGGATCTCGGGCGACAGGGATATGACGGCTGAGCAAGCTGTCATGAGCCCGTATTTCTCGGGTGAGATTGAGAGATCGCGTATGCATTCTTCGACTTGTTGTCGATGTAAGATGGGTGTAAGTGGGTATTTGTGTCTGAAGAAGGCATCGAGACACCACTGTATGATATCAGTCGATACTGGGGGCGAGGCTTGAAAGCTGGGGTCCCTCGGAGTCGCAGTCTGAGTCGGTGATGGTGGCGTGACTGCATGTGGTGATCTGCTCGCCTGGGACTCGTATCCGGTTTCTCTTGAATCTTCATTCACGGCAAAAGACTTGGGCTGTTGTGGATTTGTCTGTCGCCGTTGAATAGATTTCCGTCCATGCCGGGGGCCTTTTGGCCCTGTCTTCTTCGGAACCGCCACATAGGTGCACTCCAATATTGTCTCCTGGCAGTTTGCGCACGGCCAGCACCCATCGCAGCGGATTTTGCGCGAGTGACATGGATCACAAGCTTGTCGAACCTTGGGTAGCCTCTTAGAGTATATGACGTTGGTTTCTTGGGACATGATACGTATTAATAGGAGATAGATCGTGAAGAGGTGAAGATCAAAAAAGCGTCATGCAGGATAGGTGAAGGTTGGGGTAGGGGGTTGCTTCGTGTTGCGGGCAGAAGTTCTCCAGGTTTATGGCAAGACTCCGCACTCTCCGCAATATCGTTCCGGGGGCAATTTCTGAACTAACCCAAGTAAGGAACTTGCATTACTAGCGTGGTATCTCTTCCCCATCCTTTGCCAAAATTTAGGCTGAAATTTCAAAACTTGAAAGCAGTTCGCTTTGTATGAAGACGTGGTTTGGAAACCTAGATAAACAACAGACTCGAAAACCTTCCTGTGCCTATGAAAAACTGTACTCTACACCGTCTCAAGAAGTGGCCTTCTTGACGGCTACTCCATCCACCACAACGTATTCGCTAAACTTTCTTGCCGGAATTCCCTGGGCATACATGTGATCGATGTCCTGGTAGGTTCTGTTCTTCGTCTCGGGCTGGAAGAAGAAGAGAAGCCCAAGAACGAATACCTCGGCGCCGACAAAGAGGAACATAATCTTTCCGCCCCAGTTCAGCTGATCAGGGTTGATGAAGAACGGGAACACCGAGGACAGCAAGAGAGCCGTGAGCTGCTGGCAGACCAAGCTGAAGGCGATGGTCTTGGGTCTGGTGGCTTGCGAGGCAGTCTCCTGAGCAACAGCCCAGCCGAAGCAGCCCACTGTAGCGGTATACAACATCGACCATGTGATCATGAATGCGAGAAGAGCCATGTTTGCCGAGTAGTTTCCAGTCCCAGCGAGAGATGTGCCACCGATGATGATGGACCAGCAGCACAGCAATGCGCCGCCGCCAACCAAAGACTTTCTGCGAGGGAGGACGTCGGAGACTGTGACTGCTACGCAGTTCGAGAGAAATTGAAGAGTGGAGGAGATCGCAGTGAGTCCGAAGGGATCGGACTGGCCGATGAGCTCGAAGTAGTAGGTTTGGTAAGTGTCTGGAATCATTTGGTTAGCATTCATCCAAGACTCGTAGATACGATTAAGACTTACTTGCAAAGTATCCACCAGAGAAGTTCTGCGACTGTAATCCAAGAACCGCAACAAGCGTACGGAAACGGTGCTCCTTGGAGAAGATCGCTCTCCAGCTGGTCTGCTTAGCCATATTTGCCTCTCCTGCCGCAAGCTCAAGCTCAGACTTGATAAAGTTGAGTCTCTCTTCAACGTCGACGTTCTTGCCGTAGAGCTTGAAGATCGCCTTACGGGCGTCGTCGTCCCTACCCTTCTTGACGTACCACACCGGCGACTCGGGCAGCCACGGCAGGACAATCATGAAGAGTGTCGGGACAAGGAAAGTCATGGCGAACGCCAGGCGGTAGCTCCATTGACCGTGAATTTTGGAGGATCCCCATGCTGTGATGGAAGACAGGAAGAAACCGAGAACGATGATGACGTTGGTCAACGAGCTGAGGGAGCTTCGAAGGGCCGGAGGAGCGTTCTCGGTAACGTAGAGGGGAGGCGTAACGGTTGACAAGCCGACTGAGAAACCGAGCAGCAGCTTGGAGACGAAGAGTACGGGTAGGCTTGGAGCGAATACCAGTGCAAACGAGGAGGAAAGGGAGAGAATAACGGCTGTCCAGAGGACGGCTCTGCGGCCAACGGTGTCGGCGAATTGGCCAGTGAGGAAGGCACCGAAAACCTGACCGATGGTGCTGGCAGCGTTCCACAGAGATTGCCAAAGGGCAGGAATAACATATTGGTCTCCAACTTGGTAGTAGTCTCCATAAGCCTTGCGGAACTCGGGGAAGGCTATGGCAGCTCCTGAAAGTCCAGAGTCGTAACCCCATCCAAAGACGAGGGACATGATGTAGAGTGCCCAGAAGACATAACGCTTGTCTTGCTTGAGGTTCGCCCAAAGACGCTGATATTGTTGCTTGGGGGTCAGGTCTTGGTTCTCGGTTGCCTCTATAACGGCTTCGTCCGCAATGGCGAGTTTCTCGATATGGTCGTGGGCGACGACGGTTGTTGCTGCTGTTTTGGCGTCCATTGTGAAAGAGAATTAGATGAGATGATCTAGTCGGAAGTATTAGGATTAAAGAAATGATTCTAGATGATCTGGATAAACCTCTTTTAGGAGCCAGGTAGGCGAATTCTAAAGACTTTATACAAATTGGAACGGGAGGTTTCGGCGAGCCATTTGCTCGGTTCCGAACACTCTGGACACCTGCATCGAACGACACCAGTGGCAGCAGTCCCCACGGGGAACTCGGCATGGGGAACATTACGCGCTAGGAAGGGAAACAGGTCCTTGGGTTCACCATCTGACTGGACCAGTCTGGGTGTCTGCTCATATTCGCATGTCTCGCTGGAAATACTGGTCTGGTGGATCATTGGTACCGGTTTAAATGGTTGAATTTCAATTGGTTGGTTAGCTTTCTGGTGGAGAACTGGCAACTCACTAACATAAGACTTCAGCCACGAGCCACGGCAATAAGCCGTGAAAGGTGCTTGCATCCGTCCCCCGGAGATGGACATTTGCACGCAAGAAACTGCGATTGTCCCATCTTCACGCCACTCATGGTCGATCGAACGAAATATCGAGAGACTGAACAATCAAATTTGTAAGTTCATTGGCTCGAGGTCTTGGCAAACTCGTTGAAATCATCACCTTAACTTCACTCACGAGTTTGGGTACCGATTAGTGACGAGCCTGAGGACCAAAGTGGTCTCATAAACTAGACACCAAGAGCAACGTCCAGAATCGCGCTTCAGCCATGGCCTTGAGACCCCTTGGGCAAGGGATGAGTCGAACACATGTTCCCATTGACGGGAATATCAGCAAAGTCGCGATCAACTTTATAAAGAGCCAATATGGAGCGTGTCAAACCGCCGGAAAGCATGGTTCGATTGTGCGGATTGCTGCATGTGCGTATCAGGAGACTACTCAAGCTACCCTTTAGTGCCTAGTATGTACCTACACGCTTTGGGACTTCTGGTCGGTGTTGTTTCCGATGTAAATGTAACAAAATCGATTTCCAACCTCTGCAGACGCATCTTGCGCTCGCCGAAGATTTGGACCAAGCATAATGGGGCCTGCTTGTCTGGTCATAAGACTTGATAGAATCAGTTGATAATACTGTTTACTCCGAATCCAGTTCCAACTAGTAGCTCCGCATCGGCATCTTCAGACATTTGCCCTGCAGCTCTGGCTCAGAGTCTCCAGCATCAGATGTTGGTTGTAGTTTCTTAATACTCAAGTACTAAGTATGTGTGCCTTACACAAGTCATGAATGTCCCTATGAACCACAAATCCTCTTCGAAATTGCGTGATAGTCTTCTCCAAATAGTCTTCGATTATATGTATGAATGTAGCCAGAGATTGGTGACACTTGCAGGAGTTGGTGATGAAGCATGGGTAGCTGGTCAAGCTTGAATGATAACGATATATGTGATACACAAAGTCCGATGGATCGGCCAATGTGAAAAAGTGTTTTCAAGGAAAGAAACCCCACGAACAACATGAAGTGTCGTCTAAGTGCGTTGTGAGATTTGCTTTCGGCACTATAGCCCAGCGGAGCTCCTCAGTCAACAGCGACTCGTCCATTTTCGATATCACGAGAATTTCAGCGTCGCTCAGCCCCATAGTCCCACGTGCACGTCACGGTTTTCATGCAACCCGGCAAAATTTGCCATCCCCGTGGATCTCTTTTTCTCCGCATCTCTCCGGTATCCACAAGCACGTATTCCGTCAACTTAATCTTGATATCGAGACCGAAAGAACAACTCCAACAATACTCCTACATCTTTCCAGAAACATGGCCTAGTCCAACGGTGGCAACTTGGACCGATCTGTATTAGTGTCTTAAACTTGCAGGCCCACGGAACAATTTTGGGCTGACTTCATCCACACAAGTGTTGGATAACTGCTACCCGGCACTAGCAGCTTCCCCACGCTGATGTGGACGAATCATAATTCAACCATGGAAATTCAGCCGCATCCAACACGCCACGTAAGTAAGACGGATGAGGCTGCTATTAGTGCGAATGATTTTGGCACCAAACCCCAATCACCACTGAGACTCGTTGATCTGGGGTAGGTAGCTGCGGGGGGCAAGTTTCCATGAGCCAACTTCAAAGACTGGGAGTCTGGAAACTGAACATAAGAAGCGAGCAAACTTGACCTCTTGAAATGCCAATTTATTGCGAGTCTACGACTGTGCTGTCTTGAGTCTGTCCACATCTCATCGTCACAATACAAGCTCTTCCAGCGGTCTTTCCTTCTTCATTAAAGCCACTATGGCAACTTCAGGTCCCCCAGACAGACAATGGTGGAAAGAAGCTGTCGTCTACCAGATCTACCCGGCCAGCTTTCTCGATTCTAATAATGACGGATTTGGGGACGTTCTCGGAATTATCTCGAAGCTGGACTACATCAAGTCCGTTGGAGCCACGGCTATTTGGCTTTCTCCCATTTTCAAGAGCCCTCAAAATGACATGGGATACGACATATCCGATTACCGCGACATTCACAGGCCATACGGTACTGTTGCAGATGCAGAGAACTTGATCAAGGGTTGCCATGAAAGGGGCATCAAGGTCCTCCTAGATCTCGTTGTCAACCACACCAGCGACGAACATGAGTGGTTTATAGAGTCCCGCTCGTCAAGGTCATCTCCCAAGAGGAACTGGTATTTCTGGCGAGACCCCAAGATCGACTCGAGTGGCAACCGCCACCCACCCAACAACTGGGCTTCCATATTTGGTGGTAGTGCCTGGACATGGGACGAGCAAACGGGCCAGTACTACCTTTCGCTCTTCCTGCCCTCACAACCAGATCTCAACTGGACCAATGAGGACATGCGTCGCGCGACGTACTCTGATATGGAGTTCTGGCTCGACCGTGGCACCGATGGCTTCAGGATCGACTCGATGAACCTCATGTCAAAACACCCCGACCTGCCTGACGCACCCGTAACGCGGCCCGACTCAGAGTTCCAGCCCGGTGACCTGTACTACGCCAGTGGTCCTCGGATGCACGAGTACATCCGGGAGATGCGCGAGAAGGTCTTCGACAAGTACAACTGCATGACGGTCGGTGAGCTAGGCTTCACCAAGGATGAGAACAGCGTCGCCGAGTACGTCGCGAAGGACAGACACGAACTCAACATGGTCTTCACTGGAGATATTGTCGACATGGACTTTGGCAAGAACCATAAGTATGAGCACGGCGACTTCCGCCTCTCGAAACTCAAGAACATCACCAATCTCTGGCAGAAGGCAATGTTGAAGTGTGACGGCTGGAACGCGGTCTACTTTGACAACCACGACTCTGGCCGCTCGCTCTCACGGTACGCATCAGACTTGCCTCAGTATAGGCATGAAGCCGCCAAGATGTTGGCCATCTATCTTGGCACTCTCAGCGGCACACTGTTCCTGCTTCAAGGGCAAGAAATTGGAATGGCAAACCTCCCAGAGTCTTGGACGATTGGCGACTATGCCGATGTCGAGGGCAAGAACTACTACAATAGCGTGCTTCAGAAGAGGGGCAAAAACGCGGACATGTCGGATGTTCTGGCGGAGATGAGAATCAAGGCGAGAGACAATGGACGTCTGCCCATGCAGTGGAGTGCCGAAGCACATGGAGGCTTTACCAAGAGCTCAAAACCGTGGATGCGCGTCAACGATGACTATGGTGATTGGAATGTTGAGCGACAAGAGAAGGATAAGGAGAGTGTGCTAGCGTTTTGGAGGCGAATCTTGAGTGTTCGACAGCAGGAGAAGGACATTTTTGTATACGGCACCTTCTCCGAGGTAAAGGACTTTGAGGAGAGCGAGCAAGTATTTGCTTTCGTCATGGAAAGCTATGAGGGGAAAAGGGCACTCGTGCTCTTGAACTTTTCGGACGAGGGGCAAAAGTTGCGACTGCAGAATTTTGATGGTTGGAAGCAACTGCTGGGCAGCAACGCCGAGCGGATTGAAGGAGGGAACCTTGAACTCAAAGCCTACGAGGGCGTTATTTACTCTAGTTGGTAGCTTCTCCCTCAAGACTAGTTTGAATCGAACATATCTATTTTTTTGGTCAAGCCCGCATTGAGTAGGTGGCGTTTCCATATGAACAGAGGATACATCGTTAGATGTAGCCGACATTTATTATTTACACGAAGGTGGCTGCGTATCCAACAAAACAGAATTTGGATTTGCAGTTTCTCGCAACGCCATGCTAGGCTCTCTAAATGTACGAGACTCTAAACCCACAAGGCAGAGATATTAGCAGCAATCAGTCTGTTCATGGTGGAGTTGATGTTGTTAACGGGTGGCTGCCAACCCAGTCTCAGTGGAAGTCTCTCATGCTCGGCCCAATACCGAATCAAAGTCATGTTGGCGTTTCCGTAATCCCCAAATGCCGACAGAAGTAACGCATACTGAAGGAGTGAGCCTGTTCTCGCAAAGGTGGCGTTGAACTCTGGGTTGTTTGCTTCGCCCCATTCGAAGCGGGCTTTGATTTCTCTGGCAGCAGCAGCGAACTACCAGTGGGTTTTATTAGCCTTGCAAAAGGGAGCAACTACAACAAAGACTGAAAAACCTACGTCGATGATCTCAATGTCACCCCAAGAAGCCAATGCGCGGCCCCATGCGGCATGACTAAAGCTGTTGCTGTCGCCAAAGTACTTATCGTCGCGGGTTATGCTTCCATCATGCTCAATGACTTGCGGCATGTGCTGATCGACGTCGCTGAGGTGAAAAGTTGAGCTATTTCCCGTCGTCGATGTCGTTAATGCAGGGATGCCAACTGCTAGCATGGTGTTGTGCTCCATGTTGTAGCCCAGCGCCGTCGCTTCCCCAAGAACCTCCAGGTCAATGTTGCGACCGTCGCGCGGCAGCAGTCCGTGGTTAGCAAGCGTGTTGATACCGGGGCACGGTGAGCGCAAATCTCCCGGTCCAGGAGGTTGCCAAGGGAACTCTTCCTCCGTCAAAAAGGCCGAGACGCCGGCTGCGACTATGAGCCCAAAGAACGAGACGCGATGTATGGCCATTGTGATGAACGGATGTGTTTTGGGGACGACAGAGTCCTTCAGGAAATCTTCACCAAGAATCAGAAGCCTTCGACGAGAATATTTATCTGAACCAGTAGCAGCCGACGGGATAGCCATTGCCCGCTGATTAAAGAGGAAAAGACTCCTTGTGATTGGGCATTAACGCCGAGTCCGGCTTACACCCCCTACTGAACAAATTGCAACGTCGTGATTCCATGGTTTCTGTATCCAGCCGTCAGAGTTTATTTACTAATTGGGTTGTAAGAGCCGGGGAATATGGGGCCGCCACACGGCAATTCATCTCCTGCCTAAGGGGGTAAACCAGGCGGGGCCTTAACACCATTGCTAAGAATGAGGCGATTCAATCGGCAACCCCGTGCCGCGCGCAGTGCATCTTACATGCATAAAGTAGGCTTGGCCGCGATGGAAGGCAGAAATTGCTCCTCTTCAACCCTATTTCCCCGTGCAAATACCAAGAGTCTGGGAAAGCCTGGGAGATAGCAAATGGGCGTATCGTGTCACGGTTATGTGATACCAGCCGGCGCCCAGATCTCGATCGGAGGATCCCCACATCGTCCCGGTGTGGCGGACGGGACGGGACGGTAACTAGAGTCAAATTGGCACACAAATGTAAAGTGAATATCGTCAGTGAAGTTATTTGACTGCACGCATTTGACTACGCGGACAACTCTAAGCCGTTGAATTGCTTGACACACATTCTGACAAGGCCATCAAACAGAGTTTCTGGATTACGTCCAACTTATTTGGGATGAACCCAGGATAATTTCCGGATGTAATCCCTGTCATCATTTGCTCCACTTGGCCCATACGGTCCGGGATGGAAATTCTTACTTAAGGCACGTTGAGACTCACTCGAGCCGGTTAAGTAAGGGAAACCCCCAAGAATACAAAAAAAACCCGAACAAAATTCTCATGGGACCTCGCTCGATACTTGACTTCAGAACATATGGAAGAAATGATTCCATCAGTAACCGTTTTCTGTTCACACATGAATCCTCAGAGTTCGTGGCCATGGGTCCGGTCAGCCTCCACTGATGTCTTTGTGAAATGAACCGCATGATGGGAAGTCATGCACACAACAGGTAGCTGGATTCATACAAACACGCTGCTCTTCGAAAGCTCTTTCATCGAAAATCCACTTTCTAAGAAGGAAATGTTTCAGTAAGAGTTACGAGGGGTAAATGATAGAAATTGAACATGTATGAAATCATGCATCAAGAGACTAAAAGTTGTCCTAAAAGTAAGCTATGAGACTCCTGTCTCCCCGTAACCCATATGATTTTGTCATGAATGAGCTGCTGTCTATCGCGAGATGTGCATAGAATGATATTCCAGTGGTTTCTTTCCCACACTCCGTGGATCATGGTCATCGTGTGTGACCTCGAAGTTGGTTGTTCGCATGATACCAGTACCTTTCATCAACTCCTCGTCCGAGTCTCGAGCAAAAGAGCCGCTGGAATGGGCTTTGGTCTTGGTATACCTGGTGTTGATACCTCTCAGACTGATGTCCCCGTTGACAGTTGAAGACTCGCCTTCGTGGCCATCACCTGTCCTGATCCATCCTTGTTGACCAGTGTGGTTCTGGTGGTTATAATAACCTTGGTCCTTAGAAGACTTCAGCTGAGGCACCCATCGTCGGATAAGAGGCCAAAGGGCTGGTACTGATGCTGTAATGATGGCTAGGTTGCACTCAATGGATGAAACGCAGAAACCAAGGGAGAAGTTCGCATCGAGACTCTTGTCGGTGAAGTTTTTGGCAAGGAAGAAGAGACGAATGACGCTCACGGCTGTGACACTGCCAGTAGTACACAGGTAGCAAAACCAGATGTACGAGCATGGGGACTGTTGAAAGGTTACAGACATGATTCCGAGCATGAAGACAATCATCAGCCCGATCTTCCTTTTCTTCTGCATCTTCAAGCCCAGGAAGATGTGAAACGGGAGCCCAACAGAGACAAGATCTGTCAGAATAGTTAAGCATGCAGTGGATATTCCGAACGAGAATTGCTGAATGCAACTCCCTGCTAAGGTCGGTCTCCAGTTCTTTTCAATGGGCGTGCATTGAAAGATGACAGCAACAAAGGTGGCGATCATGAGCGCGAGGTTGAATGCAGCTGTTCCCCAGACAACGTATCTCACTACGTCTTTGACACCAGAGAAACGAATCAGGAAGATGAGGAGAGACTGTTTGACTAGTGCAAGAATCGGATTATAAACGGCGCCGACAATGTAGATCCATATCATTCCTGTCGTCGGGTTCATAGGCAAGGGAACGTCCCAATAGTGAATGCCTATATAGAGCTCTTTCATACCTGGATGGATGGGCGAACTTTAGCTTGTATTTCGGTGACTCTGATTTTTTATGAATCTAGACTTACATATAATAGACCCGATAGCTAGGGCAACAGAGAGAGCCATCGCGGCACCTATGCAGGCGTCATCTTATGGCGTGACAATCAGTTTCCATGGGAAGGATAAAGTGTTTAAGAGTATGACATACCCCAGCCGAGGGTCTTGGTATCATTTCTGATGTAGAGACGCAAACTTATCGTGATGAGTGCCAGAGTTGGGCAAGCGACCTCAATGGCAATGCCAAGGTCCTGCAGCCAACTAGTAGGAGCTTCCGTCATCTTGAGTCAGAGACTACTATTTGACTGACATGAGCAAGCCGTAGAACAACAAGGTGATGTTCCTCCGAACTGGTTGAGCATCAGCTGGGGTAGATGAGGTTCATGGTATTCAACAAAGCATGGTGCACAGTCAATGATTTATGGGAATTGACGGACAGGAACCATCCCACACACTTCATCCAACCAACATCCCAACGTGAAAAAAAAGTCTTTGGCTCCTCCTTTATCAGCACAATTGCGGCGCATGTCATCCCTGTGGCTACAATGCTCTAGTCTCCTTGGCTCACTTCACTTGCACGACTGAAGAATGGAGATGAAGAAGTGGCGTTCAAGACTTCGGAGACCAGGATCTTATGCAGAATATCTCCAGGGCACTTACGCAGACTGCATCTAGGCGTACCGGTGACTCGAACCTTTCGATGCCCATTCGCGAGCGGTTCGGCATGCGGCAAAAGACAAAAGCCACGTTTCTGAACCACCCGCCATCAACTTCAAACTTGGCTCTGCATTAGTATAGTCCATAATGAGTCAGTTTTGAGAGTTGATGAGTGAGTGGTCGTTTTTGCAGTCGATGGATGTCTTCGATTTGCAAGTAACTTTATGCCTTCTAGTCACCCTCCCATGCCTCATTTCTCCTTGCAACTTCATTTTGTCAGAAACTCCAGGGGTTTCTTCTGCCCGTCAAAACGCGTTCGTTGTTGGTTGTTGGACATCTGCTACTGCCCCGGTGCCCCTTACAATCGTATGGAGAACACCATGCCTTAGCGCCAACAGAACCGAAGAAAGTGGTGTGCGTCCCCGCCTATTTCAATGTTGCCGCCCGTCGCCGTCGGATGTCCAACATGTGTTGGTGTCGCTGAGCGTAATTGAAAAGCCAGGACAAAAAGCCGTTGGCTCGGATTCCTTGCTGCCGGTGTTGTTTGTACAAAAGTCCCTGTTGGAAACCAGGCCAACATGCAACCCGGAGGCGTAGTTTAGATAACAATTTCGGGTGGTTGCTTCCTTCAGCGTCAATTTCCAGCCCGTGGACCGTGGTACACGCATGATGGTCCGATGGACTGATGGCACATGTTTCAAATTTTGCGTGGTCGCACAATTGACATTTCGGGAATAGAGCTTTCAAAATGCGCGGTTACTCGAAGTCTAGATCTCAATGACACGGTCGTTCGGTGACAAGAGCCACTCTGAAAGCGGTGTCGTCTAGGCAAGCCACAACCAAGAAGCACCAACCGGTGAACAGAACATGAGTATCGTTTCTTGCATCACCCATGGCATCCATAATTCCCTTACCATGGTGACGCGCTGCCTGTACACACATTAGCGCTCCACCATCGGCCAGGACCCTGGGTCACTTATGGAGCTCTCTAAAGTTCTAGATGGTGGAACGATTGTGCTTATGGGTTCTTAGGTGGTATCTCACATCCGAGCAGCCCTCTTCCGGACATTCTCCCCGACGAGAAGCCAACTTGATCAGACAGCTCATGATCGGCCACCCAAACAATGCTAATGGCGCATTCCGATCAAACTTCAAGGCGCACATGACCATGCCATGCGCGTCTTGAAGACCCCATCCAAATATTGGGGTTGGTGGATAATGCGCTCACAACCTGGTCGATAGCAAAGGCCCGGCGGGTTGAATTCCACCTGGAAGTCGCACGTATAAAGATAAAAGGGAATCCGCAGAATGCGCTCAATAGGCTTTATCACTGGTTGCTGTGCTAGTTGGTGTCTCTCGGCTACCTTTGGGTCCTATCAACCTTCAACTGGACAGCGCGCCATCCGCCATCATGTTGCGACTGTCGGCCTTGGTCACAGCATTATCACTCGCTGACTTGGCCTTAAGCCAAACAGCTCAAGATGGTAACTCTAACGGTAACTCCGGTATGCAAATTATTCATGTCTTTCATCTGGCCTCTTTACACTCATACACATAAATCTGCCAGCGCCCCTAACCTAGGATTCTGCTGACCATGGTTTTAAGTAGCTGTCACAGCCGAGACCGTTGCCCCCGCAGTTCAGGCTGTGGCATCTGATGCGGCCCCATCAGGGATCGAGTACTTCGACTTTGAATCTTCTCAACTTACGGCAGACGTAATCGCAAACTTGACAACGTATAACCTTACTGGCACTGCTGCATTCAACTTCGGCGATGACGAAGCTGCCGTTGAGAAGCGAGCTGCGCGTTCATGCAAGGTATTCCCCGGTGATCGTGCATGGCCGTCTGACTTAACGTGGTTTTTGCTTGACCTTCTCCTGGGAGGTGCGCTGCTTGACGGGGTTCCTGCTGCTGCGCCATGCTACAAGGACTGGCCCCAATACGATGCAGCCAAGTGCAATGAGATAACGGCAGCGTGGACAACCCCTCAATATCAGTAAGCTCATTCTATGCAGGCAACTATTTGCGGCTCGCTAACAACATCGAAGAATGTCTGAGCCAACTGGCTTAGACTATCCCATTTTCGAGGGAGTCAGCTGTGTCCCTCCGAGCATCGCTCGAACCGGCGCCAACTGTACTCAGGGGGGCAACCCTTCGTATGTTGTCAAGGTCACGAATGTAGCCCAGATCCAGCTTGCGGTCAACTTTGCCCGCAATCTCAATGTTCGCTTGATCGTCGAGAACAAGGGGCATGACTTCAATGCGAAGTCATCCGGGGGTGGCGCGCTTTCGATCTGGACACATGGTTTGCAAAGTATCTAGTACCTGGGAGCTGATTATCATCACCGAATTTCTGGATACACTGGTCCAGCCTTCAAGATTGGTTCTGGTATCCAGGCCCTGAAGCTCTACGAGGCAGCTGATGAACTTGGTCTCCATGTTGTTGGTGGTATTGCCCGCGTAAGTTCTCATTGCCGCTTGATGTGAGCGGAATCCTTTCTGATGCTTCAAACAGACTGTCGGTATTGGTGGCGGATATTCTGCTGGGGGTGGGCATTCCCCATTGATGTCCAAGTATGGTGTTGCCGCCGACCAAGTCCTCTCAATGGAGGTTGTCCTACCTAACGGAAAATTTGTTTCCGTCGATGAGAAGAAGCATCCTGATTTATTCTTTGCCCTCCGTGGAGGCGGCGGCAGCACATGGGGAATTGTCACGTCGCTCGTCATCCAAGCCTACCCCAAGACTCCCGTAACTACGCTCACTTACAGCTTCGCAACAAGCAACAATGTCTCCACGGAGACCTTCTGGTCTGCCGTCGACGTTATTTTCGCCCAATTCCCTGCCTATGCCGATGCTGGCATGTACAGCTACTGGTCCATCATGTGCGCTCCAGCAACAACTTGCAGCTTCTCCATGGCTCCCCAATGGGGAAATGATATGGATACAGCCAAATTAACCGCCGTATCGGCACCGTTGTTCTCCAATCTCTCTGCTCTGCATATTCCCGTTGCTGATACCAAATACGCTGAGTTCGACGGCGTTCTCAACACTGTCATAAACACTTGGCCTGCGGAATCCGAAGTCGTCGGCGCTTGGAACTTCCACACTGCTTCCCGTCTGTTCCCACGGTCCAACTGGGAGAATGGAAGAAAGCTAGCTGCGCAGACAAAGGCTTTGCGCCAAAGTGTTGAGGCTGCTGGCATGATGCTTGGGTATAACTTCAAGACTGCAGTCAATCCTTCTGTCAACCAAACTAATGCCGTGAACCCGGCTTTCCGCGAGACTTTGATGCACGCTATGCTGGGAACCGCGTGGGGCCAGGAGGCCACTCCTGCAGAGATAGCTGCTGCGAATAAGAACTTGGTGGAGATGCTTCAGCCATGGCGGGAATCCAGCCCCGGCGCCGGAGCGTACCTCAACGAGGCAGACATCAACGAGCCGGACTGGCAGCAAGCCTTCTACGGCAGCAACTACAACTACTTGTATCAGCTCAAGCAGAAGTATGATCCTTGGGGACTGTTTTATGCGACGACGGCCGTAGGTTCTGAGGATTGGTACATCAAGGACCAGCTTGACTACTACCCAACTCAGAACGGGCGGCTTTGTCCAAAGTAGGAAACTGTTCTTAGTTTAGAATAATCAAATTTTATCGTAGGAAACTCCCCTGCCTGAACATAGGCAATAATAGGAGTGTATCAGGGAAAACATGAGTCCTTTAATGGAAATGGTGTGATTTAAGGTGTAAAGGTTGATTAACATCATGCGAAGAGTTCATTTGAGTATGATATTACGGTCTATAAAGTAACAGGAAAGTCCTCCTGCCTTCCAAGTGTTTCGGCTTCAACTGGGTATATCTTGGACAATACACAGTGAAACACGGCCGTTGAGGTAGGGAGTGCGAGTACGTATTAGAAAACAGTTCCCTTCGTCTGCTTTCCCTTCTCCTCCTCCACAGTCTTGACGTTGATGTTGCGCCAGATAAGCAAGGACAGAAGCACCAGGGGAATGAAAGCGCAGCCAGCGATGACCATCTTCCGCTGAACGTCAGCATAGGCCGCAATAATTGCCGTGCGAATAGGGCTGCCCATAGGGTACGAGAGCTGCGTTTCGATACTGGCATAGATGCTTGCGGTGAGATCTTTGCTGCCTTCTGGGAGCTGGGCGTAGATGTTCTTCTTGAGAACGTTGTTCCAGATCCCACCAGCGATAGCTAGGCCGATGGCAGCACCAATGGAACCGAAGAGTCCGTGCAACGCGAGAGCGATGGCAATCTGCTGGTGGGTGACAGAAGACATAATGGCGATTTGGGAGCAGATGCTGAAAATGCCGCTGGCAACACCGTTGAAGATCTGGCACATGACCAGGTAACCAACGGTGGTTGACGGGGTACGAAAGTGGATGAGGAGCGAAGTGCCGAGGACGCAGATAGGCACTCCCGAAAGGGCGATGTACTTGAAGCGGCCAGTGTATCGAATCGCACTTGAATTGGGGTTAGTGGAAGCTTTGTGACTTATTTACAGGTAGACTTACACTCCGATGAAGGGAGAAATGATTGCAGAGGTCAAGCTGAAGGCATTGAGGATATATCCAGAGCTGGTGATGTCTTGGTTATGCGCAACTTGCAAGTAAGATTGGTAGTATGAATCCCAGCAGCTAAAGATGGTTGTTAACACAGGATCAGCATGGCAAGGCCGCCACATCAGAGTGTCAACTTACTAGATGGAGGCGAACATGATACCATATACCAAGCAAGCGCCTAGAATAGTTCTATCCTTCAAGAAGTGGTACGGGAACAAGGAGACCTTGGCGAAGTTTCTCTCCCATAGAGCGAAAAGAGCCAAGCCAATGACACCAAAGACGATCAAGCAGATGATGGTAGGGCTCTTCCACTGATGGGTGGCGTTGGAGACAAGAGAGAATGGCAACAGGAGCATGGACCATCCGGCCATCACCAAGATCAAGCCAACAACTAAGACCGTCAGCAAATCAAGCTCCAAGGGGTGATTTGTATCTTTACAAGCAGTTGCTACGTACCATCAAATTCGATGAAGTAATGCTTGGTAGATTCCCAAGTAGACCGGGTCTTCTGCTTAGGGGGGATCAAACCAGTCTTCTTAGCTTTGATCTCACTAAAGAAGAAGATAACAGCCACAGGAACACTGAAACCAATCAAGATGATGGCGAAGGCGCCGAACGCCCAGCGGAAGTTGACCTTATCATAAAACAGCTGCGCAATCTCTGGACCGGCAAAAGTCGTGGCGATCGTCGGCGTGCCGTTCAGAGCGATGATAGTCATACGATTTCTAAGGGAAGTCATATCGGAGAGAACGATAGTGATGATGTAGATGAGTCCAAGATGGCCAACCCAGAATATCGTCTGCGCGGCAGCGTACGTCTCAACGTTCTGGCACGTCGCCTTCATGATCATGCCGATGGTGACGAGGAAGACCATGCCGGCGAAGCCTTCCGCACGGCCGCGAATGTCGATAATCTTGGCGATCGTGAGCTTAGAGACACCACCGAGAATCGTGGAGACAATGCTGGTCGTCGCAAGCAGTCCGTGTTGTCCGAACGAGGAGGTCACGTAAGGCGTCAAGTTGCTCTGAACAGATTGTAAGAGGCCGTCGGTGAAGGAAACGAGGTACAAGCTGTGTAAAATCAATTAGGCGTTGATCAAAAAGTTTCTATGGCGGTCGTTGAGAGCTTTAGGAGGGGAAATGAAAATACCGCAAAGACTTACAGGGCAAAGACAACCCAGAGCATCTTCCAAGACCACACTGAGGTGATGGCCTCCACCTTCTTGACACCATCTTGCTTGTGCTCGGGGCCCTCCTCATAATCGAGCTTCATAGGCTCGGCATGAATATCGACCGAGTTCTGAGCAGTGCTTTTTTCGATGTCGGTTCCGCCGGCAACATGATTCTCCTCAGACACCTGAGGTGTTGTCGAAGCGTTGGCGGCCATATTGATTTCTACGAGATCAACGACAGGCGGGTGCTGCAACGAGGGAAACGCACTTTGGATGCGCAGTGGACGTCTGAGCAAACAGAATAACGATCGGAAAGAACGGCGTGGAGAGCAAGAACTCAACAGATATGTACGGCGAGCAGATGGATTTGAAAAGATTTATACTATCGCGTACCTGCAATGTCTGACCCATCGCTGATCCCACATGCGGACCCACGCTGTAGAGAGATCATCACCAACACACATATACATGGATCCAGAGCAACCTGACATCAAGGAAATATGATTCGTCCAAAGGATCTATTATCCGTGATGGAGTGAGGGACTAGACGGAACACTTGCTCTTAGCGTCGATGTCCGGCGAAGCGGGAATCGCTCCCTAAGCCGGCGAGCCGGCACCGCCACTGCTGACCGGCCGCAAAATGACGTCTGTTGTACCCGGTTCTCAGGTTGCCGTGGAAGTCGAGTCCGCTCACTGGCTCGGCGTCATCGGGGCCCCCATTGTTCCCTCAGGCGGGCCCCGATGTCGTTGCGGTTGCTGGACAGTTATCAGATGATCTGACAAGGTATTTGGTGGAGAGTGCGTCCACTGGGGTTCCTCTTTCAGTTGCTGGCGAGTCAGGGACATCCCAGTTTACGAGGGAAAATTCTCATCGATTTCCTCGCATGCCGAGCTTGCTCTTCCTCGCTGTACGAGGGGAGCGACTGAGTGAGGAATCAGATCTCCATAGTAGAACCCATCATTCCTAGCCGTATGGAATTTTGGTCGGGATCTGGAACATTGTCAGTCAGAATTAGAGTATGCAGACACTCTACTTCTACAGTCTAGACTTTAATCGACGCGGGCTGCCTGCCCATCACCTTTGCAATGTACCCGATCGAAAGACTGCTGCACAGGCACCGAAAAGGTCTTGTTACTGCTTAATTGAGCCTCCAGCCCCTGCATCGGGATTGCTGGCAAATACTTCGCTCCCGCCGCTAAGCCACTCGCTTCAGCGAACTTAATTACCGACTGCAAGTAATCCATTGTCGGTTCCGGATTCCGACGCTAACAATAGCCTCTTCTTGCCGTTTCAGAAAACTGCCATCTACCCATTCCAGAGGCCGCCGTTGGGTGACAGACACTGGATCATCGATCACGGATACTCTTGGAAACTCACACCATATCAACATCTCCACCGAGCTTTGAGGTATCCAATATTCTTGTGACATAGTACTGCCATGTTTGTTTCTGCAGATGATGGTCAGTGGTGAGTTGTCCAAGTCACCATGTGTAGAGTGTGCAAAGCCGAGAGGCCAACACTGTAGCCGAAGCTGGAACGATTTGATCGGAATATCGGCGCAGCAGCCAGTTCCTGATTAATTCCCTCACGAAGTTTGTGCTCCACTGAAGCCTGGGCTCCAACTTCCAAGTTCCATTAAGTACTACGCTCAGCTTGCCGCCACTTTGGGCTGACACTAACTCCTGCAAGATGTCTCCAGCAAAGAATGGGGCATTTGACTCGTGGCAATATTTCCCGATCATCCGCGACAAAACAGTCCCGTGAGTCTTCCAAGTAGTGGTCAATGAAATGAATAACATCGATTGTAATTTGGGGCTTTCCAGCCTTTTCTGGCTTATTATATGGTATCACGCCGCGTTGATATTATTTCTTTCACCTTTCCTCATTCAACATTTGCTACGGACTTGCTCGTGAAGCGACATCGCATAGGAGCTTGGTTGTGGCATAGGCCTTGTAGTGGCGATGTCCTGAAAAGATATTCTCAAATAAGTTCATGACAGCCCTGATTGACTGAGTGTCATGTTGTGCTACTGGTGTATGCTTGTTGTAGGCGACATGGAGGAACAGGGAATCTAGATTCCATGCAACCAAAGGTAGCAAGTGCCTGGGCAGAGGAGAGTTAAGGTACCATTTACCGGCTTCAAAACGTCGATCAATGGTCACTTACGATCTCTGTAGACCACTCCTGTCAAGGCCATTGAAGACTGTTACCAACTTTCTAGTCGCGGATGCGCAACTTGAGACAACAAGGGGTGTCTGATTGCGGAAGGCTGCATTGTCAAAGAACGAAATATGTGAGAAAATTGACGAACGAATGGCATTTTCAACCTGGTGAAAAGTGCAGAAGATGGTAGATAGCCAGGGTACATGCTTCTTGTCGAGGTCTTTCGGTACCGAAAGTGGCTTGATGAGTGCCGGCAGATTATGTCTCCACAAAAGCAACTCCTCCAGAAGTTGACGGCTGATTCCAGCGTGCAACTCCTGTGACATTGACGAGGAAGCGGGTGAGTGCAATTTCTCGTATGCTTTACTCTGAATCTTAGCCAGAAGAAGCTGTTCTTTGAGGCAATTAAACGATGTGCCGTCTTGGAGATAGATAATTCCATGGCCATCATATGGTTCTTGGCTTGGAACATCTCGCACGATGTTTGAGGATAACAGCGGTGGCTTCCCGAGCCATAAGGAGAGGTTCTGATCAAGTATGTAAGCATGTGAGAGTAGACGATGATTTTGAATTGCCGTTTCGTCTGAGGTGGGGGATATTTTGTGGAACCCGACGAGAAACATCATCTGAGAGGCAACGCCTAGTACCATGGCTGATGTTGACAACCTTGACGTAGATGAAAGGAGAAAGGCCTTTTATTGTCAGTAATCAGCTAATAGACAAACAGGGATCTGGATCTGTGATGGCATACCATAAGCAGCAAGGCACCAATTGCAATCGAGTCTGGCGGCTCTAACATGAGTGATGGCAGCAGGTTTAGCGCGGTGTGCAGGCAGCGTTCCGAAGAGGCAATCCCTTCTATGTTATTGCATTGAATGGCGTAAGCGCACACAATGTTGACAGCGGCACAAACCTTTGGTGAAGGTGAGATACGTTTGTGATCATACTCGTGGAAGATTGCAATAATTTCGCCCAACTGGAACATGCCACATGCGCTAGTTGACTCTGAGATAAAACCTGTGATCTCTGATATTAGCTTCATGTAAATCCTAAAGGGAGACTTTGAGTGAGGCTCCGAAAGACACTTACTTTCAAGGCAAGCATGTCTTAAATTGCTCGGAACAGCCGTCGGTGGCAGCGACATCGTGAAGCGCGGCTTGCCAACTTGCTTCAACAACTCTTTGGATGCAGTGCTGAAGCTGTGGTCACCCAAAATAAGGTCGACGCATTTAGTGTTCAGGAATGAGAAGATCTGACAAGAACCTTCGCTTCTTGTGAGCTGGCTAACGAAAGAGTCATACAACTCACAAGTTGAGAGATTACCTTGATACGTAAAGTCAATGATCGACTCCGATTGATCCAGCATCACGCTCGTGCCTTGTCGCACGAGTTGATAAAGAACATCTGGACAAGAACCTTCAAAGCCACAAGTTCTACCGGGCCACAGAACCCTTGAACGACTATTTGTATGACGGTGTGATGGTGTCGTAGCCAAGGAAGCGACCGAGAGAACGCTTTCCAATTTGTTCTCGACCCGTTCTAATGACCGCATGAGATCATGGCGAGATCTGCGTAGGGGCACATGTCAGCGTCTATAATTGATTTGCCATCAGTCTCGGCCTAGCATACTTTCGGCTTGTGGGCGCTCGTTGTCTGGTATATGCATAATCGCATGCAAAACTCTTGGCTAAGCATTGCGAGCACCGTGGCACAGCCGCATCGCACTTGGTCTGAAAGATGAGATCCGATTAGTCGTCAAGAAGAACTTCATTTGATATGGGGCAAGCCTTCTACCTTCCGCTTTCGGCACGGCGTGCAAGCCCATCTAGACCTCTGAGTCATGGTAGGGTAGAGTCGTCTCGCTTGTTCAGAAGGTTTGAATTGACCAGAATGTGCTGACGCGGTGATAAGGAGTAGAAAATTGTCTTTGGCTGTGCGGTTCAACTCGTAAACACATTATGAGTGATTTCTGGCGATGACGGAGTTCAAGCGGATATTGGAGTCAAACTCCGCAACTAGAGAGTTGTTCCGGTACCCGGGGGCCCGCGCCACGGTAGTGGGGCCGTTGTTCCGATCCCCTAATCCCCGACACCACAACTAAGAACTTACAATGCTTGGAGAGAGCCAGATACTTAGTACAAAACCCCAGCCTGAGATCAATTTTCATGATATTTCGACATTGTTCTCAAATATTTACCAACGCTTCAATGTCTCTCAAAACTCACAAAATAGCAGTGTTCGGAGCTGTTGGGGAGTCTGGGGGTATTATTGTCAATGGCTTGCTCGAGTCAACATCTCCGTCTTTTGTGAGTTCACGAGTCTCAATTTGCATTCTTCTCTCGAGCGCATGCTCCCATAGGATTTGTTACTGACAAGCCTGCAAAGGAAGTCACCGCCTTGGCCCGGCCCTCGTCAATCTCAAAACCAGCGTATGAGGAACTGAGAAAGAGAGGTGTCAACTCTATTGTCGTCGACCTTGACAAGCCAGAGATCGAGATCGCCAACGCCTTGGGAGGATTTGAAATCGTAGTAGCCTCGGTCCACCCTGCCGGCGTAGGGTCTCAAGTAACACTGGCTCGAGCAGCCAAATTGGCGGGCGTCCAACGCTTTATTCCCAGCGCATTCGCAATGGCTGTCTCCCCAACCGCCAACTCTTCCGTCCAGAAGTCGGTATGTCAGAATTTCGCGAATTGGTGGGCTTTAAGATATTTATTATGTCGGTTCCTGACGTCCAACTGCAGAAGGAAGAGGTTTATGCGGAACTGAGAGCCATCGACCTACCGTTCACAATCATCGACGTCGGCTGGTGGTACCACGGATTTATCCCTCAACTGGCTTCCGGGCGGACTGACTATACCGTTGTGTTGCCTGAGCTCCTACGAAATCTAGTTCCTGGTGACGGAAACATGCCGACGCACGTTGTGGATTGTGCGGATATTGGAAAACTCATTCCTCGCATCATTGTGGACCCAAGAACCATCAACCAAAAGGTCATGGCCTCCTCAGCAACGATGTCTTTCAACGAGATGTTCGCCATAGCCGGAGAGCTTTCGAAGGAGAAGGTGGTGAAGAAAGAGGTAAGATGGTTCCACGAGGCAATCCCTTGCGCTTTGATAAACTCCCACTAACTACATCATTCTCGCCAAGATTTCCGCCCAGGGATTGCGGTTGATGATCACAGACTTTGAGGCACAACTACAAGAAAGCCCTCAAAATGCCCTTGCGGCAATTGGAAAGTTCTGTTTGGAGTACTATTATTCATCATTCATAGATGGAGACAACAGTCCGGAGGGCGTCAGTCGCTTAGGCTATCTTCTAGCCGCCGATCTTTACCCTGACTTCAAGCCGGCATCTTTCCAAGATTTCTTGTTGGAAGTGCTTGAGGGCGACGTTCGGATTCCGTATTCGGGGAGATAGGGGTTTCGGAGATATCAAGTGGCGGCACGGTAATCGAACTATCCAATTGATTTTCACTCGATTTAGGGCTTAGCCAAAAGTGGTCGCTTTTGGGGTTGCTGAGTGATGCCTTAGTTGAATAAGATGAGCGGAACAGCCTTGAGTTGTTACTAGTAGAACTTTCACGTACCCGGCAACTCGAGGCCAAATTCTCAAACCCATTGAGGGTTTACGAATGTGAGAGACATTACATCTTTGCACCGACAGATCTCGCAGAAGTTGATTTAATTCACATAATTGCCATCCTCTTTGTGAAACCAAGACTGTCTATTCAAGGTCCGATTGATATATTGTGCGACATTTCCATCTAACGCTACATGTCGTATTGAGGATGCCTCCCTCGCCAGAATCTATCATCACTTTAAGAAAGACTGAAGGATGTAAAGAGACGTGCATAGAGATTAAAAAGGGGATACAAGCTTCGAAAGACACTGACTGAATATAGCTGCAATAGTGTCGAAGCATTCGTGAATAGAGAAAAGGAATGCCTGAGCGGCAGACTCAGTCCTAGTCCCAGTTGACATCGCTGCAACGTCGCTCCAAGAATTACTGCACTGCTGGACGTGATATGCTAAGGATTATGACGACAACGAAAGACCAACGAAGTATTGATGCCGGAAACGATAATGTATGGGGGTGAATGGCTGCTACAGTAAGGCCTGGTGTAGGTAAGAAGGAATGGAGGAGACGCAATATTCTACATGACGGTTTTGGACTTCCTAGCGTGGCCTTCAGAGACAGCTTGTATCCCATCAGGTTTTATGCGTTGTTGTTGTTGTTGTTGACGCAAGCTACTACAAGGGCTTGCAGGCATAGCTGAGTTTTGTGAATTTGCCATCGCATCGATTACGTACATGAGTTAGGTCATCGCGAGTTATGGAATCGAAGGTATCTGTAGAGAGATATCCCAACTGTAGCTACAATTGACCTCAAGCAACAAGTGTAGTGACTCGTCTCAACAGTTTTCGTGAAATCTATACCTTGCTTTCTCAATGTCGTCTCTTGAATCAAGCAAACGCATAATCGAGTTTTTCTCATCATGACTTTGCAAAAGGTGGATTCTTTCTGAATTTGTCTGAGTTGATTTAAGTCATGGGCCTTTTCTAAACGAATCATCGGTGACTGGTTCCCCACCGCTGCGTATTTGCACATCGACCAGTGTGACAACTTTGAATGTCTGACGGGACAGTACAACGCCAGCAATCTCACCATTGCTTCTTAAGATGAGGCGGTCTTGCACATTATTCCGGTCGTTGAGGTGCCTTGCCACAACATAACTGTGTGTCTTGCTGGGGTTTTCCCTGTAAATTTCAGTTTAGTCGGAAGAATCATAGAACAAAATTATTCACAAAACGGGGCGCAAACATACTGTCTTTCGTAGACTGAAGAGCAAGGCATGATTGGAGCTGTTGGAGTAAGTCGTGATACCCCCTCTGGTGGTAACTTGAGGATTTGTGGTCGGTGCTTGAGGAGCTTCCGATAACCATGGGGAAATTCAAATTGCATCCGGAGAGATATAGGCATGACATCAGACATAATATAAATATTCGGAAGCATCACAATAATCTTGTTTCGGTCAGCAGCATGATTTTCAGACTCAAACGCGCGAGATATTATCTCTCAATTTAATGCATTTTGACTGACAGTCAGTTGAATAAATTCACACAAAGTCTTCGACTGAATTTCGATTTCGTGAGATCCAAACTGACTGAACACAACTGACCAACCAATCGGGCTCTCATGCGTCCTTGCAGCAAGTCTGCATGGCCCCCTGGTCCGTGATAACAGTGTAAATAAGTACGTATGAGCCTCAACAGCGAACAAACTCCATGTGGCTCCAAGTACTCCGCGGTGATGACCCAAGAAACACTCCCGTGGGCTTGAACGAATATTGAGATCCGTGTGAAACATAGAAACCTCAGTCAGACTTCTCACTAAGTACCTTGCAGGCAACCACTGACCTGCTTCGCCGTGCTGAGCTACTCACCGAAAACGCCTTGCCAGGCTGTGTGATTCAGGCAACCAGGCTCATTGGTTGACTCCGGCCCAATCAGATGTGTTCATACCAAGTCGACCGTACTGAGATTGTGCTGGCCAATGAGACCATCGGCGCTAACGCTGTGCTACGGCCTGTCTCACATTTGGCTGCAAGTTCCTGGTTTTCCTCGTTGGGTTGCAGCAAATTGTAACTGAATTTCAAACTTTTGAAAATGAAAATGGCCCAATCTCAGCCCTTGCTACCTCACCCTTGTCGTAGCCATTATCTTGAATGGCACGTGTCGTCGTGTTTTCGGATCTTGCGATCGGTTCGGGCTCCCCATTTCTTTCCACCATCTGTCTTCCTTGACAACTCGACACGGGCATCACAGCATCGTTTCTTAGCTCAGTCAGAACTGAAGCACCAGCCCCTGCTCATTGTTCTAGCTCCTGTTGGCATGTTGGTTCGCAATAATGAACGACGAAAACGAGGCAGCAGTTGAGGGTGTCACTTCAACTAAGAGCCCTCAAGAACATACTATATATCGCGGTAAATCAGTTGTATTTCACTCAAAACTAGGACTTCGCCGACAAAAGACTCACGTCGACGACAATCATTCAGTGGGGACTATTTCAACTTCATATTCCAAGGCCCATTCTGCTACCTTTTCGGCTCCTCACTTTGACTTCCACATGCATTCTCCATCGGCGACGACTCCAACCACATCTCGACCTCAAAGCCCCACAAGGCTGACCTCTGCACCGGGCCAAGCCATGGAGCTTGGTCTTGTTGGTATCGGAGAGCATGTCAACGCATTGCCCTTAGGCAAGTTCATCGCAGATTTGCCGATTCTCTCTCGAGATCCCCGCCTACCAGAATCTCGCCTCCCCCCTGACGGAGCTAGTACTCCGACTGGGATCTACAACGCGGCTGAGTCACCGATTAGTTCTCGAGAGTCCGACTCTGGTTCCGATATCTGTCGCTCTGATCTTGATCTAGAGAATGCTGCCAACATTGCTTTATCCCGTTCTCTTGGGGTGTGTCTTAACCGGCTCAGTCACCCTGTTCGTGTCATCGAGGCGTTCTCCAAGTTTAAAGATCAGTGCGTCGAGATCCTGCAGGAAGAGGAAGCGTTTTCGACTATTGATTGGGATGACGACGGCTTTTCCTGCTACGATGTGGAAGAAGGAGATGCTAGCAACGGCAGCTCAGCATCGGATGAGACCTCAAATCGAGCTCAGCAATCAGAGTCGAGAACAAAGAAGCGACCGGCTGAAGAACAAGGCGGAGATGATGGCCACGACGAGATGGACGAGAATGCTGGTCAAGATCAGGGCCCAACAAGAAGAGGACGCAGCAAGAGACGAAAGATCGGGCGTCCAGGGGGTTTTAGCTGCCCCTTTAGAAAACGTAACCCCTGGAGATTCAATGCTCGGGATTTCGATGCCTGTGCCAACAAGTCCTACAAGCATATGACGGAATTGAAGTAAGTTCCAATGTTCTTGCCATCCCTACTCTCATAGCTGATGTGGGACATCGGATACTTTCTCCCACGCTACTGTCTTTGACCAAGACCTGACTCGGCGCAATTACATAGGAGACATATTAGCGCGGAGCATGGGAACCAGTCTTGTACTTACTGTGGGCAACCACGAGCGGCTGGAGACCACCCGCCTGAAGTTTGCCTTCGCAACCGACAGTTGAATCCCAATTCCGACCCAAGAGACCCCGAAGATGGCGTGGACAATCTCAAAGATGAGTCTCTCAGAAGCCGGGCTGCCGGCTGCAAAATCCAAACTTGGGGACAATTGTGGAATCTGCTTTTCCCCGATGATGAAGAGATACCTTCACAAAGTATGTGGTACCGGCATTGTTACGTAGAAAGCTGCTAACAATGATTACCATAGCCTTTGATCCTGTGATAGAACACCACGACATAGCCGCGGAGGGATGTGAGAAATTTGTCCTGAAGACTGCCGAAGACATCTTCGATTTCGTACCACAAAGTTCTGGTCTCTCAGTACCGGCCCTTCAGGAGATCCTGCACAAAAGCATAAAAGTTCTTCTCCGAGGCTCCAAGTATGCTGACTATGGGCGTTATAAGATGGTGGGAAGCAACGATATGATCCAGATCTCAACACCCACGAAGGGCAAGTCTGTTGTTCCGGTTGTGCACAATCAAGTTGACAACGTATTCGATGATGGCGAGTCGCCAGGTGTGATTGTCACACCGCAAGCTTCGCCACAGGACGCAGGTGTGATATCCAAAAGTACATCAACGGGTTTGAAGTCTGCTTCAGTAAGTCCTTCCACCGCCTTCGTGAAAAGTTTTTCATATTCACACTTCAACGAAGATCATACGTGAACGACCGATTGCACCTAAAGTGGAGCGAGTCCCTACTTCAAATGTTCCTCAGAAGGTTAGTTTCCGCTGAACTTCATTCCATATTAACTAACATGTCCAGACTTGTCTAGCACCTGGTGCGTTCATACAAAATGGGTCTCCCATCTCCACTGGAGGTCCTCAAACCCTCATTCTCCCGGATCTACCTACTGGAGATGCCATGAATTGGCTAGACGCGGACTTGCAAAATTGGGATGAGGGTTACGGGGACGATTTCGTGGATATGGGAGTAATCAACGCCGAAGATCTCTGGACGTCATCTATGGTCCCAGATTCGATGTCGAATTTCCCGCCATTTGACGGTCCTGGAAATGGTAGCTAGGCTTGGTCATCACTTCATGTTTCGTTCTTTGAGTAAGTCAGTAAGTCGCACTTAATTGTTTCATTAAGATGCTTTTATATTTACCTTCATTACGGGCTGTTCATCAATCCTTCCAGCTCTAGTCGTATCAACAGCTTTAATGCTTCCCGGTCCTAATCCTAGTGGCACGTCTGCTAGGGTTGTACAATAGGCATAGGAAGGGCTTTAGGGAAGATATGCACCAGCAGACATCTGTTTCCGCGAGAATTGTCAGATCGAATATATGTATTCCATTAGGCTAGATCCCCGAGGCTCGAGAGTGACTGTAGATGGTAGTTTGACTTGAAGGATTGCATGTAGGCCATTAAGGAAGAGACGGATAGACAATGCCCTAGCAGAATCCTCAGCGGATCCATAGCCTAGCACATCAACTACAGCTCTCCCGTTCTCTCTTCTTCCCTCTTTCAAGCCAACACCGCATGTCAAAGTCGTTTACGAACTGGGCTTACGAATATGCACATTAAGGTTGCCGTTGCCCCACGCAAACTCTTCGCCCTGGACTGTGTTGTCCGCACGAGTGCAGCTGTCCATAATAAGACCGCCGGCACGGGCAACGTCGTTACTGTGGCAAATGTATCAGCATTTTGTATTTCATGTCTCATAACTACGAGATCAGGGGCCAGTTCTTACCAAGCCGAAGAAGTAGAGGCCGCGTTAGTGCCTCCCTTGACACCAGTGATTTGAGCATTTCCAAGGAGACAGAAGACAGAGACAGTTGAAACAACGCATGCCTGGCTGCCCTTACGGGCAAGGTCGTTGATGCAAGCAACCGCGTCAGGGACCTGGTTTGAAAATATGTCAGCGGTCTCGATCCTATCAAGCCAGGGTGCTGCAAGAGAGAAAGGGACATACGGAGGCTTCAGTACCGGCAACAATGTTGCATTTGACGCGCTTCTGGAGAAGGCTGTCGGTTGAAGTGGTGCCGTCAGAATCGGTGGCGTTGACAGATATTCTCCAAGCCTCGACAGCCTCGCTGGGAGTCAAGTTGTCTCCTTCGGGGTTGGCAATAATGCCATCGACCCACTTGGCGAAGGAGAAGACTTCCACCGTATCGGGCTGGGTCGCAGTGGGGACGGCTCCAATGAAGGGAGCCACGGCCAGGACAGCCAGGGTAGAGGGGGCGACGTTGACCATCTTGAAGAATTGAGCGGGCTCTGGACTTGAGTCTTGAGAAGAGTTCCGGTGCTGAAGATTATAAACAAGAAAAGTTGGGAATCATTGGGGTCTTTCATAGATCATTGTGATAGCAGGCAGACTTCTCTTTGATGAAGCTCTTCTTTTGGGACAAGCCTCGGGACGGGTCTCGGGAGTGCTGCATGCTTCACCAAAGTCCTTTTCAAAAGCCTCAACCGATATGTATTCTCCACAAGCTCGAAGTAAGGTTACATGTAAGCTCACTAAAAACAGGGGTCTCGGTCATGTCGGCTCAGCCTTGTAGATGAATCAGCCAACTTAGTCTCATGATGGCCCACCTCAGCATTTTTCGATCATTCAAACGAGGATCACTGGGCTTTCAGACTCCAAGGGCTCTGTGCAAGCTCCCCCACTAAAAGAAGGAGGCGTGGTGACTTCAGAACCCAGTGTGCTTCTTCGGATGTATGCAAGACCTGGATTCACGTCTGCTGAAGTTGTATCATGTCATCATGGAATTGTTACTCTGCGGATATGCCAAGAAGCTCAAAGGGCTGTAAGCCGCATCAGCAAGTATCTTCAGGATATTCTCCTAGCTTCTTGAAAGCCCGAAAGTTAGTGTCTATCCTGTTGAGAGCGTAGTCTGAGTGAACGATATTGTATGTCAAATGCCGTAGAGAAAAATAGGAAGGTCGCGTAAAGACATCCAGCAAGGCAGAAGCTTGAGTCCACTTAGCTTTCGGGAATACTAACCGAGAAAGATCAAGATGCGGTCGGCGAACTGTCATATGCAGGGAAAGCGGGCCTGGTAATATGGAACTTAGAGGAACGACCCATCTATGACAATCAATATCAGGAACCAAAGTCCCTATTCAAAAGCGAGACGATGTGACCTCCAGTAATTGAATGGTAAGCATGCTAACTTTGCGGATACATGGCCGGCTTGGTCGGTGCTCTCCAGCGGGCCGCAAGACTGGGTCTCATTGGAAAATGGAGCAATGGGCGGTCGGGCGGCCGCCTCCACTACCTCAACGATGTCTTATCCAGTTTACGAAGTGATGCTGACACTTTTCGTTGTCGCGATACGAAGCAATATGGGGCCATTGCGAAGAACATTAGAAAGGAGGCTGCCTAGGTCTTCACACAGAGGAAAGCACCGAGCTGTGGAGCGCGACTGCGTTGACTAGGTGCTTGATGCAGCTTATATCGAGACATCAGACGACGTGAGAGGGCGGGGCCGAAAAGGTCGTTTTCAGGCGGTGTAACCGATGAAATGGGACTTTCGAGAACCAGTGCCAAGGCGATTGAGTCTAGACTTGAAAATTTCTACTTCCTAGAGGAGTCGCGGCAAAGTCTGCCGAATTGGCTATTGATGGTACTGACTGCCGGTGATGAAATATGATCTACGTGCTACCCTCCTTCGAAGCAATCGCAGACTTGATGTGCAGCTCAAAATCGCCATCCTGCTCGGCAAAGAAGCTATGACAATGTTAGCCCCTACCCACAAATTCTCAAATAAACAGACCTCACTAACCTTCGAATCATGAAATTGACCCTCTTAATGCTTGTCAAATCAAGCGGCGCAGTATCATTCTGAACCCGTCCGCGGAAAGTAGGCACAAACGCGCTCAATGGCATCACCACCTTCTCAACCGCGCCGTCCGTGTGATTGACTGCCGGAATCTGGAAATCAAACTCCCAGCTCACGCCAGACTGCTCCACCCCATTCACGGGCGGCGGCACCGTATCCTTCAGATTGAACGTGTACTTTTTCCCATCCGTAAACGGGATCTCGAGGGTGATGGTGTCGTACGCTGAGATGTCGAGACTCGGCCAGTCGTCCACGGTCCGCTGTGACGCGAAGCCCGCGCCGCCGAGCGTCGCGTAGTCGAGGTTGCCGTGGAAGTTTGCAATCGACTGCGCGAAGTGGTTGCCAGCGGCGCCAGCTTCGATGATGTCGAGAGTGGAATGACTCGCGCCGTTGCGGACCGTGTCGTCGGAGGCGATCCACTGGCTCTTGTCCCAGGGCGTGAAGAGAGCTGCGGAAGCTAGGGCGCGGAAGGCGACGGGGATGTGCATGGTTGCTGGCGCGCGGGCGAATGAGTGAGGTGGTGATCGATGAGCTGCCTTGAGTGTGAGAAAACGAATGACGAGGTTGGATCAGCAGCGGAAATGCGGGATGGTGCGCGAAGACCGGATGGCTGGGCACATCGCTTATTTAACGCTGGATCATCGTCATTGTCCGTGTCCGCTTGTCATGTTTATTAAACTTTTGTTGCCAAGATTCTCGCTCCTTTCTAGGCTTCATTAAGTGATACTCGGGGCAATCATGGGCTCCGAAGCAGTCCATCGTGGGTTCATTTACATGGTAAACTCTATTCTCGCGTTGTCAAATCCCAGGCTGGCGGTTCGCTCGATTTGTGGAGAGTACTCAACACCGAAATGTCATGGATCTGGGATCTTCGCTTTCGTAACTTTTGTCCACAGAAGACGAACACAGCCGCCAAGCGCGCCGGTAGTGCCGAGGAAAACTGGGCATGTCGATTGAGCCCCCTTTGAAACCCCTAATAATGGCGCGTCTAAGACATTCGCTCGTCGATTGATTCAACCCTGGCCAGTGATATCAGAGGCATTCCTCGGGAGGTGGAATAATGTTGGCGAGCAGGAAATTGATGACATGCAGAAACCAGAGCAAGTTTCTTGCCAGTGAATGCCAAGAAGCGTGTTCGTCAACATCTTGGCTCTTGACTGGTCATGCAACTTTCATCAGTCACAAATGGCCAGGGGAGTATCAATGGTTATAACATGGTGGTATGCTTTTTGCTGTTGTTTTCCTATCGTACAATACCCAGGCTTTCAACTCGAACCGTCCAACCCCCGGATCCTACTGAATCGGCTTGAATGAAAGAAAGTCGTTTCTCGTATCAAGTCGTCATGAAAGTCAGAGCCTTCAGCTCATTCCACAGAAAACACAAAACTTTTGATTGTCCCGAACCTAACAAAACAAAACCTCAAAACTGTTTCGCACACCTCAGGTTAGTACTCATCTTTGGAGCCTTTACAAGGAAAAGTCTCAGATGAGAATCGAGGTTGGCGAGATCTTCACCAGCGACCGGACGTGTTGAGACTGGATCACTCTTCAAGAGTTATCCTGGGTCTTATGGACGCGGCGTTCTTTACGGCCGCGATTCTTGGCACGGCCGCCGCCACGACCTTGAGTGTGACCTTGAGCGTGACCCTGGGCAGGGTGATGAACCTGGTCTTGAGCTTAACCCTGAGCATGAACATGTCCGCGGTTCTTGCTACGATCGCCGCCACGACTCTGGGCCTGACCCTGAACGTGAACATCAGTGCGGTTTTGAGTGTTGTCTTGAGCGTGATCATGAGCAGCGCCATTGCCTCCACCACCACCACGACGGCTGCCGCGACCGCAATGAGTCTGGCCTCGTCCGCCGCCGTGAGCTCGGCCAAGACCGCCGACATGGTCGTGAGTGTTCCCGAGAGTAGCATCAGCGATACCGCCATCACGCTGGGTCTGGGCACGCTTAGGCTGACGAATGCCAGCCTTATGGTTCCGTTGACCCTCGACCAGGTTGTTGCGATCACGACCTCCTCCGCCCTTGCCAACTCCAGCATGGGTAGTCTTGTTCTTGGCCTGCTTCTTGGAAGAAGCACGCTTGCCGAGGTTACTCTTGCCAGTGACCGGGTGAACCTTGGCGCCGGGAATGAAGGTACGGTACTGAGTGGTGCTCTTGCGCTGGACCTGCTCGACAATGGCGCGAAGACGGGCGAGGCGGGTACGGTTGTCCTCCTGCTTCTCAACAAAGGGGAACAGCTTAATACGGTCCGCAATCGAGCACATGTTGTCGACACGGCCGTTTCTGATGTCCTTCTGTTGCTTGGTCGAGTTCTCGAAGACGAGCTGATCAGTGATGAAAAGCTTCTTGGCGTGGTCGAATCTCACGTACTCGCGGCCGATGATGATCTCCGACTCCGAATCCCAGACAATGTGGCGAGAGACGTTCCACTCCTCAATGAACTTGGGGCTCATGATGTTCCAGAAATGCTGGATGAGGGACGGGGTGTTTCTGGTGAACCAGTAGAAGCTCTCCGAGATCGCATCTCTGATGAGGTGCTCATCGTCGTGGCCGGTAGAGAAGAGGTCGAAGGCGGCCATGTAGTCGAGCATGAAGTCGACGTGGTACATCATGTTCCAGTCAGAATCCTCGTACTTGAGGGTGTTCCAGTTCTCCTTGGTACGGGCTAGTAAGGTCATGAACATGTGTCTGACAATGCAGAGAAGCGAGCGGTGAAGGAAACGATCGCAGAGAATGCAAATCTGGGCCATCGTCTTGAGCTTGATTTTAGGGATCTCCAGATGCGCTCGCTTGAATGCCTCGGGGTCGTTCGCGTTGATGAGATCATCAAACAGAGAGAAGGGGACGACCTTGCTACCGAAAGACTTTATCTCAAAGTACCAGCCGTGGGTGAGTTGAAGGTAGAACTTGAGAGCCTTGGGCTCAATGTCATCGTCATCGAGAAAGATCTCCTGGGTGTAGGACTCCTTGAAGAAGCCGAGGAGACAGGCATCGAAGTACAAGGATACCGCGGTGATGACTTCACGGAAGACAACGAAGATGGTGTCGCCACAGTAGATGTGAACGAACTCATCCTCGCAGCTATCACAGGTATGTCAGATCAGGCTCAGGCATGGGGTCGAGCCAACTTACATGTCAAGGATCTTCTTGCTGTCACCGGCAGCAACAGCCTTCTTGTTGTGATTCTCGATCATCGGGCGCGAGGTAATGCGGTAGTCGATGACCTTCTCCATTTTGAGCGATGATTCGAGCGGTTAAGCTTCGATGTAGTATGAAATAGGCAAGTTGGGTATGTAGATAGATGGCAACGACGGCGCGGATCGGCTGTAGAGATCCGAATCCGCAGTAGATGATGCTGAGGGGAGGAAGCAGGGGGAAGATTGTGTTGGAACGGGTTGTTTCGTGGGATTTCCCTCTACCCTGAGTTGTTGTTTGTGGGAGAGGAAAAGAAGAAGGTGGATGTTGACAAAAGAAGAGCGTGTTCCTTCCTTACAGTGCCGTGTTTAAAGGCAACAAGCGAGGTAGGCAAGGTCGAAAGCCCTAGAAAGGAAAATAGGTCCAAAAGGAGCGTCAAGGGCGTGGATAAGTGAATTTTTTTGATCTTTCTCCTGTCCAAGGCACAAGGCGTGAGAGGTGTGAAGTCACAATTGCCCATGGACAGTGGTCGGATACGGTGCCGTAGCCTTCCGAGTTGGCCCCATTTGTCGCCGAAGTGACCTCCGGTAGGCTCCGGATACTCTCAGGAACCGGCTTTGTGTAGCCTCGGTTGAAAAGGACAAGGCGACTGGTTGGTCATTATTGACTCATTCTCGAGCCCTGGGTCGAACAAAATATTGCAACACTTACAAGAGAAGGAGCATAGGTAACTTCAATAAGCTGCTCTTTCACCTGCCCCTTGGGTTGCTGCCTCTCTCGTAGCACTCTTGGGTCTTGGGAGCTGGAAATGTTGAAAATTGCCCAATGTTAAACTCAGGAGGCGTAGTAATGGCAGGTCGCATCAGACTTTTTCTAGGAATCAAATGACTAAGTTCGCATAGCTCTACCCGATTAAAAGGTCAAATAAGTTCCAGTTGAACAGACTAAAGGAAGACTGCTTTGCTTGTTATTGGTCCGAAGTACTCTCCATCCCCCGAGACCCTTGGACGAGAGATGACGAATCTTCATCTCATGCAGGAAGGGAATTTAGACAAATCTTTAGGGCTTCATTGAGCTTCGGAAAATCATGTCATTTGTCCTTCCTTTATCGAGACTTGTCCTATGAGAGCAGCCCCAGACTGAGGTGGAATCATAAAGTTGCTTGGGGTACGTACCTGAAGGAAGCCAACTCCACAGTGTGTACGTCCCGATAAATCACACAGTGAGGGGAGCACGACCCCTCCACTTCCTCCCCCGTGCTTGCCTCGATGAACTGGAAGAACAATCTGGATGCAGCCTGTTTGTGCATGTCAATCCTCCCAACTAATGATGTCGCAATCGCCCAATGGTAGACGATATCTCCTTCTTGATACTACTTTGCGTCAGTCCTTTAGACGCCAGGTGCATCGGTGTACTAGCTATTGAGTCAGCTGCTTCCGATTGAGTCACCCAAGTCCAAGCACCGTCATCTGTCATCGCCCGAGTTACTTTCTGAAGCATATACACCCTCAGTCGGCATCGAACAACTCCCCTCAAAATTCATACCGAGTACTTTATAGGACAATTCAACGATCCCGCGAGCCTATTTTGGTTGTGTTTCTATATCACTCCTCGCGCCGGTTGCCCAAAGTTCGTCTGCAAACAACAACGTTAACCCAGGTATTAATATCTCACATTTCGCCATGGATGGATGCTAAGTAGCACAAACTAGATCGACCTTCCTCTGGCCACCCGGCCTACCATTCCCGCAATGGGAGGCTCTGCCTTCGCATCTGGGGATAACCCTCTAGACACACCACGAATGCCCGCCACAGTGTACGAACGAGCCAAGGCCGGATGTTTCGCTGCATTGCGGGAGCTGTACCTCTGTGTGGCTAGCCCTATTGAAGGACCCGAGAAGCAAGACTATGGAGACATCGATATCCTAGTCGCCTGGGAGAGAGCACCTTTCGTCGGGAAGTGCGGTGGGAAGACAGCACCGATGTCAACTCCTAGAAGACAAGAAGAACGGGAAGAGGGCGAAGCGTGGTTCGAGATGGCCAACGACTGTGGCGAGGGACAAGAAAGAACACCCAGTCATTCTATCATGTCCATGTACGAGGCACGCAAGGCCATTTTTGCCGCCCTTGATGCCAAACGCGCAATCTACAGTCCCGCGGGCGACAACTATGCCATCCCATGGCCGGTGACGGATACGGAGATGGATACAGATGAACCGAAGCGGTTTATCCAAGTTGACTTGACCATCTGCAGTTCACTCCAACAACTGCAATGGATTCTTTTCAAGCACGCCCACGGCGATCTTTGGAGCATCATGCAGACCATTATCCAGCCACGCGGATTGACTGTGGACGACTACTCCATGTCACTCCGGAACAACGACATTGAAAGATACGAGAGATACAGCAAAAAGTGGCCCAAAGTACATGTCTCGAGGGACCCTGCCGAGGTACTCGTCTTCCTGGGCCTTGATGTTGAAAGGTTCTCGGAGCCCTTTGCGACTCGAGACGAGATGTACGAATACATTGCATCCTGTCGGTTCTTTTGCATCGAGACCAATTACGGCCGACACAACAATCCCGACCCAACGAACCCGGAAATGATCATGGAGCCCAAGGGGTCGGAGGACAAGGACAAGGACAAGATGGGTACCGACGCCGCTGGAGAGCCCGCCACGAAGAAGCTCAAGAGTAAGAATAAACAGCGCTTGCTCAAGCGGCCCGCCTTCCGCCAATATTTTGACGAGTTTCTTCCACGCTGCCGAGCAGAAGGACGGTACGCAGGACGACCGGATCTATATTACTGGGACGTTCACCAACAAGCTTTTGCGATTTGGGGTAATTTTCAACCTATGATGTCGCGCCAATGCGTGCACCTCATACTGAGCCTCGGGGAGGACAGGGTTCGAGCCAAGATCAAGGAAGTCTGCCAAAGATTGGTCCCCGGCACCGATGCTAAGAACAACCAATACCGTGGCTTGCTGAACAAGGCCTTTAAGAAGATCATCATTGACGGAGACTTAATGTATGGTGTAGTACTAGAGGAGAACGAGGAGTTCAGGGACGGCATGGGTCAGATGATTAAGGACCAGCCCGAGAAGTTCATCCTCAAGCATCACGAAGAAGTTGGAAAGGCTGCTGTAGCTGAACATGAGCGGAACTTTGAGGAGCATAAACGGTTGAAGGAGGAGCAGAAGACCAGCAGCATTCTCTGACGTTAGGTATGGATATGGTTGTGTATTTCAAAGATACCACTAGCATCATTTGGAAGAGAGAGGCGCTCTGCAATTAAATCTGTCCTCATCACCTCTGTCCTCTCTCCCAATTTTCAAAGTTTTCCTTTCCCACTATCTCATTCAACACAGTCTAAAGGCATCAGAGCCCTTTCATCAGTCCGTTAGCCCCAGTACCTCGCTCCCGCTCTGGGCAGAAGCTCCAGAAGAATTCAAAGACTTGTCTGATCCCCAGCTTTTCTGCAACATATCTCTGATCTTAACCATCTTAATGTCTGAAACGCCGGAAGTAAAAGCTCGCTCTTCGGGAAGATCCAGCATCCCAGCCACCATTGCCCGCTCTAGTCCGGCCATCAGATGTTGCATGAGGGTTCGAGGGTAAAGATTGTACGACGAAACGTGGGACGGCAGTTCTGTGATGTGCGAAGCCTCGAGAATTTCCACAGAATCATAACCGACATCAAATTTGCAGCCTTTTGTGGTCGTCGATGAGAATCTCTTTCAATACACATGTAGTAGGAAGGTGGGAACCGACCTCGAACATTCTCGGCAAGCTGGAGAAATTCGTTCCAAGTAGCCTTGTCCCCCACGACAATTGTCTCCTCCTGCCACTTGTCCGCATCCAACATCGTAGCCACAACGTTGGCTACGTCATACGTGTAGGTGAATGTGATGACATCGTTTCCTGTGCCTGGAATTCTGGCAATTTTGTTGGCAACATCAACGGCCACCAAAAATGGGGGTAAGTGGGTTTTGACATGCGGCATCCCGTAATAATCGAGGAAGTAGCCGACGGTGAAAGAAGTCCACTCCAAAGTTGTCGTCCTCAACAGTTTCATGGCAGCCAGCTTGTATTTGACCCACGGCATGTATACAATGATTCTTTAGCTTCATTAGCTTCTTCTCAAGCGAAGAGGGCATTCTTTTGTAGCTCACCCGTCTGTGATCGGCGTTCCCCAGTTACTGGTAATGAAACGTGTGGTCGTGGTGGAATGGTTCGCAGCTTTGATCAAGTTCATCTCAGCTGCCTTGGCGGAATCGGTTGTTAGACTTAAGCAGGAAATGACAGTGTGGATTTTGTTGTCCTCTAGAAGATGTTGAAGATGATTTGCATCGTCATAATCCACAACGATGAAGTGAACTTGATCAACATCAGTTTGAGGCGCCTAGTGCTCATACGTGGGTCAGGATAATAGTACTCTGGCTGGCGGAAACAAAGCTACGTACCTTGCGGCCTATCACGTAAACCTGATGTTTTCCCTGGAGTTTGAGAACTTCTGTCACTGTTTGACCAAAGTTTCCGAAGCCGCCAGCAATTACGACATTCACCATCTTGATTAAAGAAGAACGTCGAGAATTTTCGTCGTGATATAAGTCAGGTAAGGTACGTGGTGTTGGGATACTGTTGGGATAACTTCTCTGGATGGATCATCAGAGGTTATATATCCGATGTGTGAATGTGCCAATCTTGGGTGGATTTACCCAATCATTTATTCAAAATCGCAGAACCTGAATTAGATGGACAAGTCTGATTCTCAAATTGGTATAGCATTGTGTCATATGAAGTGACAGAATTTGTCAGGTGGGATGTTGAGATGGTTGAATGTTTGACTAAGCTTGGGCGGAGCGGGATCTTCTCAGTGCCTGTATGTGCTCCTGAGGGCTGCTCGAATTTCAACCATTCAGAAATTTATCCCAGGCTACTTACCAAATTTTGCCCTGTGTACGAAAGTTTGGGAGCATGCGAGATCAGGCATCGGCGAGACGTTTGTTACTGGTTGGTAGGCAAGAGGTGGGATTTGTTAAGGGTTGGTTTGAAGGTTTGTCAGGTGGGATTGGAAAAAGTCGTCTGCGGAGTTTGAGGTGCTGCGGAGTGGGGGTGTTGGTTTGTCAGGTGGGATAAAATGTACCATTGCTTGACCCATTTCCACTATCGGCCGCTCAACCTTCAACCTGAGAAACGTCCCTCAAGTTCTACGGTCAACGAAAGACGGCAGCATAGACTACAATGACTTGCCAATGTACCTATCCAGGATGTTCACGCAGCTACATCCGAAGAGAGCACCTCCGACGGCATATGCGAGACCATGCTAATGAGCAGCTACACTGGTGTCCTCTTTGTCCCTCCAAGTTTAACCGCAAGTAAGGAGAATCCAGTTTGTGCCCTACATTAGGACAAAACTTCTCATCGCGATCCTAGAGACACTCTGAGCCGTCACTTGAACGAACTTCATTACCACGCCGCTACAACTTCAACCCAATCGAACGAGGAGCCGCATCGCGTTTGTGAAGAAAGAAAGCCCCCTGCATTACCTTCCTACTTGCCTCAAGAGCAAATCCAAAGTCGCCAATTACACAATTATTTCAATACGTTTCATCCAGAATGGCCAATTCTGCACAAAGAGACATTCATATCATGCCCTCAGCCACCCGAATTGGTCCAGGCGGTTACCATGGTGGGTTATTGGGTAGAGCGTACAACAGTACCTGAGTCGCAGAGGAAAGCCGATCACGACCATGACATTCTGATGGGCTGGGTAGACAACAAACTGGTAGGTGTAATGTCTTTCTGATCTCATCGACCTTTGTCCTTCGTTTTCACTCTCTTTAATTGCTTGAATCTTGCCTCTATTTCTAACGGCAGCTGTTAGTTGCCCTTGCTTAGATCAACATCAACATCCACCAAACCCCATCAAGACTTGCCATCTGCAACTCTCTTCATTGTCCAAACGACATTCATCGTCATTGCATTCGCCGCATGGAGATCCAATTCTCCGACTCCTTTTATAATGACAAACCTCTGGTATTTAATAACGACCCTGAAAAAGATTGGCGCATATCAGGATTCGAAGGTAGACTGCATAGCTCAGTCAGGGACAACCCCACAACAAAAGTTCCTCCTACGAGAACATTACCGACGGCAAGCAAAACGCATCCCACTCCCCACAGACTGATTTCTCATGTGGTAAACAGACTTGGTTTGCTTTCTTTCAAATTACATGTCCTTGTTTGGTCTCGGTTCCTTTGCAAGAACCCGAAGCTTAGAATGTCGCGTGCTATTATGCCCGAGATGCTGGATTTGCACATTCCCTGCCCGCAACGTGATTGGGACCAGCCACTTTCTTCGTTGCCCGAACACATACTTTCTGGGCAATATCAAGGCATTCCTGTGTGTGGGATGTTTGATCAAGCTGTAACTCAGCGCACCCTTGGCCCCTTATCGTCGGTAGTCTTGTGGGACTCCATGCTTGGATTATGCTTGGATGCATGCGTGCGCCTTGGAAAGACTATCGCCATCGGGGCTTGGAATCAGCTTGGAGAACACTGAATTTGAAATTTGACCTTGACCTCGGTGGGCAAGGGTTGTTGACACGAGTCACAGTGTCCGATGGTACAAGCATGGTCGAATTGGGGTTAAAAGGTTTACTTCTTCAAGACAATCAAAGCATCCAGACGAGTCAACACATGAACAGTATCTATCACGGTGAGTGGATTAAGTACAATGAAGGCAGCTGATGTCTTCAAGACAATTTGCATTACAAAGAACCGTATCGATCAGAGCATTACTTCAAGGGAGTTGATGCTATGACGGCGCCTTTATAGCTAAGATTCTACCATTTTAAGACGGAGGATTGCTTGTTTCCACATACCTTACCTGACTTATACCACGATGAGAGGCCATTGATGATTTTAGCTGCGGTCTACTGGACAGGACAGGGTTTTGCCATAGCTCACGCCTTTGCATCTTCAACACTTACTTCTCTCACGACTCGGACAGCATATCGCGTTTAGGCAGAAGAAATAAGGGAAAGGGATGCTAAGACCCAACATACTCCACGTTTGTTTTCGTTTTTCCAGGGGAAAAGAAGATCCAGGACTCTTCATCTTAGATAGATGGCTTCATTGGCCTCCATCAAGAAGGCATTGCCTGGGCATACTTACTCATTCGCAAAGCGTGATGCCATGTTAATGTGCCTACTCATGACATTGTACTCTCCGCACCTTCCTGTGAAGGGCAGAATGAGATCAGAAGATATATGATGTCACTAGGCATAAGTATCCCCTGAAGGATCGTAGCCTCTGTATCTCCAAGTCGGCGAGCCTCGCTTCCCGGTACCACTTTCGCAATAACCATGCCACTATTCCTGCTGAAAAACACGTCTAAGAACAGGCAGGAACATACACAGATCATCGAGCATGGCTACGCCTGTCCCCGGCAAGAAGACAGGGCAGACCAAGGAACATACCACTTATGGGCCAGATACTTGGAGACACCACCATCATCGGGGTAGCGAGCGCGAGCAAAAGCTTGCGAGCTTAGAGATTTATAGCCGCTCCTTAAAGCAACGGCCGTATGCCATTGTTAACTTCGCAGTACTATCTATTATAGAGCTTCTTCTTTTACCACCCCGATTATGATGCCATTGACTCGGTCTGCAACACCGTCTGGCATCAACAGCCCGGCCTCGGCCTTCCGCTTGGCTGTTTTTTTTTTTTTTTTGCCGCACCATTAGGAACCTCCAAGCAACCAAAACACAATCCTTCCAGCCCCCTTGGAACGTGGCTTGCAAAAGCAAAACGCTGCAAAGCTATAACAAGCAAAGGTGAGCCCCCGATGCCACGTTCCCGCAGCGACCACAAGCTTCCCACGGACCTGTCGGGTTTCTAAACTCGAATCAGACGATCCTCGCAGAATTTCTTCCACGCCAGTCATCAAACATCCAGCCACACATCACTCTGTACGACGCTGGCATGTGGTGTCTCAAACACCTGGCTTGCCTAGCTCACCTAGCCCACACCCACACCCTCAGCCCTAGGAAAAGGAAGTGAAGTAACTCCGGATGGATCCTGCGCACAGGTTCCCGCACATCGTTTCCCACGGAAGGACGCCATCACTGCTCAGTGGCTTCCCATAGACCATCGTCGTCGCGAAGATGGGTCGGGGACGAAGAATCCACCACCTCGCAACAAGACCAGTCCCGGCCTCCGCCTCGTCCATCAACCATCAAGCCGTTCGCCCGGCTAGCTCAATCGGTAGAGCGTGAGACTCTTAATCTCAAGGTTGTGGGTTCGACCCGTAAGTGCATACAAGCTCTCGTCCAGGCATGAGCATTCGCAACTAACACATTCCAGCCACGTCGGGCTCAATTCCCGTCAGCGATTGACACCAAGTTCTTTTTTGCCCATCGGCTTCCAGCTTGCTTTTCGTCAATGTTTGTGTGCCCCACTGATGCTTGAGGAGACCGGGATTGTCGGCCAGGCGCTGAACAACGGAGCGGAGGGCAGGCGCCTGGGGAAGCTGCGGGATGGCTGACGTAGGCAGTCGCCGAACTTTCGATGGTCGGTGCTCAATAGGATGGATGTAAAGAAAAGAAGTTTACTATTGCCACCGAAATGAAATAAGAGGGAAAGATCCATCTTCTGGTAAAGCACGGTTGCGTGTGTGTCCATCTGGAAATGTGCTGTTGCTTGCAAATGTCAAACGACGTTGAATTTCTGCCTCGGCAACCAGGTCTGAATGGCTAGCGACAGTGACACAGAAAATTGGATGCCTGGTCTAGGAGACTCCAAATTGGGCTCATCAAACCCCAACATGTCGCTGGAGATTGGGCACTAGTAAGCAAAGGTGCAGCAGGATGCCCATGCAATCCTGCCAGGGGTAATGCGAGATATTGCTTTTCATACCACCAAGAGATCATGAGCGGTGAGACAGCTAAGATTCAATACCGGGATGGACGGCCGAGAGAGGGATGACCAGGCCAAGTCTTCTGTCTAACAACTGCAAAAAAGCATGTCGTTGAGAAACTGCCCGATGGATTGGTTGCCAGTGCTAGCTACAACGTTTATGCAACGCAGACGGTTGTTCTGGTGAAGTTTGATTTTTGGGGGCCGGAACGTGCTGGCAGCGGGATGGCGGAAGCTATCCGGACGCCAGGCTCAAGCTCCGAAGTAGTAGCGACTGTTGAGCTCCAACAGCACGGTACGTACCGTGTGTAAGCATCATGGAGACAATTGGCTGATGGCGGGAAGTGCGAAGTAATTTGCCATTCATGGACTCATTTTCCATAGTTCACCTTAGCCAAACAAGCAGTGCCAGCGGTCTCGAACCAGCCAAACAGAGTGGCCAACGGTATCACTGGCTGACTTACTGGCGGGCTATTTGAGATGCATTCCTGATCAGTTGAGGACCTTGAGGCTTGAGGTATTCCGTCGATGGGGAGTGACAGGCAGTGCCTTGCATATCAACAGGGGCCAGTAGGTCGTGTGCTGAGCACCGGGGATCCGAGCCGCTCTGTCCCCTGTGCTGTGGCTTTCGATATTTAACACTGGCTAGAATCATGATAGGTTGTTGTCGACACCGAGCTGAGGCGCTATGGCTCTTTCAGGCGGCCGGATAGCCTCTACCTCAAAAGTCGGTAAATGCTTGGTTCGCTTTGCCTGGATAGAAATCAGCGGATGACTTGGAGATGATGACATGTGCAGAAAAGTCGGCAGGCAGAAACGAGGCGCCTGCGAGACGTGATCAAACTTGCTGATGCATCTGGATAATGCGCCCCTAGGGAGTGCTGCCATGTCACCGATACAGGATTCCTAATAGCCGGAGATGCTCAAGGGAGTAAGTTCGTGTGCTGAGGACTTATCTGCACAGAGCATCTCGCCCTTGTGCATGGCTGCATATACAGGCTGCACGCTGGGGGAACATCGGGATCTTGGTAGTCCAGCGTTCGGGATTCCCACACCAATCGTCGATTGGGGTCCTCCGGTGTGATGGTGCACAAGAATATGCGAGGTCTCTATTACGGATTGCTGAACGCAGAACGACGCATCCATCCCGTCACCAGATTCTCAACACAGCTTTAGGTCGGTAGCTACCACACCCACTCAAGCAGCGTCAGCCGAGCCGCAGCCCTGTGAGTCAAATCGAGATACTACATTGCACTGAAGAAGAAGAAGAAGCAACTTGTACTCTCGTGACTCTCGCGTGAAAGCCAATGGGCATGGTGATACATGCCACATCCATTTGGTTGACTGGGAATGCCGTCGGCCAGAGCGAAGTCCGCTGCGCAGCCGGTGGAAAAGTGGACATGACCGGATGGTGACTCTGCCGGAATTCTTTACGCTCTAGGGCCATGAATACGACGTCCAGCGATTCGGCGAGCGCTATTGACCGTCAGATACGAAGCGCTCTTGTCAAAATTGAAGTTTCGAGAATTCGCCGCAGCCTTCTGCTTATGAATCGAGGCAGGCTGTCCGGTGAGTGTAGATGATGGACTGGGAATGCGGCTTGTGCAACAAGTGTGCATGGTATTGTACCATCGGTGGGAGACTCTCCAGGCATCATGGGCCGAGGCAGGCGGAGCAGTCGACATGGTTTAAAGGTCCGCAACTCCCGTCCGCAAGATAGGATGCCGGGTTAAGGCCCATCTCCCTCGAAATCCCCACGGCTCCGCGAATACGTTCGCGCCATCTTTCGACGCTGGCTTGTACGAGTGAGGCCGTTTCCAGCGCACCACACCGGTCTCATTGTTGCTTGGGGCATCACCTGGCCGGCGTTGAGAAACAGATAGACAGGCCGTGACAGGGTGCGTAGGTTGGACAAGCAAACCGGCCGGTTCGTTGGTTTAGGCTTGGTGTATCCACCCCTTTCTTGCGTCTCATTCCAGGTGTTTGCAACATCTGGAACCTTGATGGGCATCTGAGTCAAGACAGAGACCTCAACAGTTGATCCAAATATTTACCGTCGAGCTGGTCGCACGCGAGGCAGAGCGTCTATTTTCATTCGTTACCTGCTCTCTTTTCTTCATTAGACATTGGACAGCATTCAGGCTAAACGACATCGACGACGAACCCATCATCAGCCAGTGAAACAAACATCAACCGGGAGGATACAGCGATATCGACAGCGTGTGGTTGATTGCTGGGTATCTCGCCTGCCACGGACACACGGTGACCGGGGTCTGAGAAGCGTGGCACCGCGCTTGGGTAACACGAACTCCTGCCCTCGAGACCTTCTCTTGCTGTCTACACGTCACTTCTGTGCTTCGTCTTCAGCTAGCGAAAGCTCTTCCGCCTTCAGCATTGGACTGAATTTCGAAGGGTTACGATCCCATATCGCAGTGTACTCGAGCACGGCTGCATAGCTGTCCAAGGTCGTTCTTCGTTGTTGGTGGTGGCTTGTCAAACGGCACAGAGGGAGACGACCAGAGAAAGACCGTCTGAGCATAAATTGCCTTAGGTTTGAGGCAACACAAAGCAGACAACGGAAACGAGGCGAATTGAGACGAGGGAGCGAGACTCAAAGAGGAGTTCTTGCAGGATTGGAGACGCGTCGTCCCTGTCCCTGTCATCCCGGGGTTGGGAGTGTCGTGTCCAGTTTGGTGTTACACGAAAGACTCTGCTCGATTTTCGGCTCCGGCCGCCACACAAGCATCTTGCAAGCTCTTAGCAAGCAACAACGGCATTGGCAGTGTCAGCAACAGCAACAGCACCTCAGAAGCCGGCGGCGTCTATTACCTTAGCTTACTGAGCACCAACGCAGGGCGAGCAGCGAATAAACGACAGGAGAGACCTGAGTGCGTTGCTTAGGGATTTGCATCACGCATTTGCCCATTTCCCCCGCCAATCCCCACGCCTGCGCGACCTGACGGGGCCATTGCATTTCGGGAGAGATCTTTCGAGGTACCTACCTACCTGCCTCGCCTGCACAGGTTTCAGGGAGAGGAAGGAGCCGACTGGCTGACGTACAACGACTCTGTGCCTGGCCTTTCAA